AGAGAAATAGAAATAAGAATCTAGAGAAATAATTTAATATCTAGAAAAATATAATAGATACCAGTTATATTAAACTTAAATACTTTATTAAAATAAGTATATTAAGTAATAGTAATCAGTTATAGAAATAGGTTAGATACTATAATATATATAAAATTAATATTAATAATATAGGTAAAAAAGACAATATCAATATATTACTTAAGCTTAAATAAATAATCCTGGTTTTTTTTAAGCTAGATAAAATATATAAAAAGTTTAATTCTTCTATATACTAATACTATAATATATCTTTTTATTACTACTAATTAAAATTACTAATAATTTAGTTTTAGTATAATAATTAAAGTTATTATTATATTCTAATATTTAATTATTATAACTAAACAGTCCTTAAAATTAATACTAAATCTATATAATCTAAAAATATTATAATTTATAAAGAGGTTTACTTTCAGGCCTATAGTAAAGTATATATTAACTTTTAATTAAACTAATATTAGCTTATTATTAACTTTCGCGGGTACTAGAAATAAAATTTTAGTATATTTTATACTATTAAATTTTTATTATATATTATAAATTAGAATAGGATATATTACTGGAGTTATTAATATATTTAAAAAGTATTATTACAGCTAATATTTATTAATAATAAATATTATATAACTAAAATTAAGATAAACTATATTATAACCGGGCCCAGCAACTATTTAGATTATAATATATTACTAATTCTAAAAAATTTTATCTAGTATAAATATTATTAACTATAGATTCTTAGCTTTAATTACTAGAAGATTCTTAATATTAGTATAGTATACTATATTATAATTTATAATATAGATATATAATATATTATTTAAAATAAAATTTATTATACAGTTAGAATACTATATAAATATATAAATAATATCTTAATACTTATAATAATCTGAGTTATAATTATTATTATATTCTTTACTATTAATATACTAATTTTTATTATTCTAATAAATTTAAGTACTCTATATATTATTATACTTATAATTTATCTTACTTTAAGTATAAGAGTACTTAGATTTACTAATTTTATTATTAGAATCTATATAATAGGCTTTATATTTTCTTTTTTATAGTCTTTATTATAGTAATTATAGTTCTTATCTTTATAATAATTATAATCTTTATTCTAATTATACTAATTAGCCTAGTTTTAATTATAAAAATAATTATCTCTATAATTCTTATATTAATTATTTTTATATTTATCTGAATAATTTTTATTACAGGAGTCCTAAATATTATTCTTATAATTATTATAGTATTTATCAGTATTATAATAATCTTAGTTATATAAATAATCTTAATATTCCTAGAAGTTATAGTATAAAAAATAGTATAAGTTTATATAATAATAAATACAGAAATCTTATTAATACTTATTCTAATCTTAGTAAAAACAAATCTTAAGATTAGAAGAATCCTAGAAGATCCTATTTTAATACTTATTATATTAAATAGTAAAATAAAAGTTTATCTTATTACTAAATTATTTAAAAATTATAGATTTTTTAGATTTTTTAATATATTCTTAGAGTTCTGGATTCAAGTATCTCTATATATATATAATAATATTCTTTTTTAATATAATATTATATATACAGGTGAGTCCAGTAATCTTAAAGATATATACTATTAAAAAATAATTATATTAGATATTATAAATTATATATTTATAGTTATTAAGCTGCTCCTATAAATAACTATCTAAGATATTCTAATAATTTTTAATTACTGTAATCCAGTAGTTGATATTTCTCAAATTTATTAATTTAATTTATTAGATCTTATTAATTTATTATATCTACTAAGTAGTAGTATTACTATAGAATAATATATCTATATTTTTAAATATAATTAAAATATCTCAGGAATAAAAGATAATTTTCAGATATTTATAAAAAACTTAAATTATTTAATAATATATCTTTTTATTATATTTAACTGGTTCCCTACAGCCCCAGATTAATAATATATTAGAATAGAAAAATCTAATATTTAATAAATATTATTATATATTATCAATAAATTAATAACTATTTTTAGAATTACTAAAATTATTATAATAAAATTATCAGAAATATTAAGAAGTTTTAAAATTATCTAAATTACCAGAATCTACTAGATTACTTTTACTATTATCTAGAGGTCTATTATCTTTATTACACAAATATAAATATAAAACTAATTACTTAATTTTTATATTATTCTCAGTTTTTCTATTATTAATAAATATCTGGATAACTTATTAAAAAGTATTAGAGAATATATTCTTAAATTCTTTTTTTTATTTAGTAGTAAAACCACGGGGTATTAAAGTAGATTTAACTATAATTAAAGATATATTTATTATAAAAATAACAGAGACTATAATAAAAAAAATATTAGTCTATATCTCTCTAGAATAGAAATTAGTAATATATATTTTATAAGTTATTTTTAACTTCCTAGACTTAGGTAATCAGAGTATAATAGAAATATAGTAAATATTAGAAAACCTAAAAACTAATAGAGAATCTATTTAGATTTTATAAAAAATAATAAGTACTAGGGCTTGGACTAGGGAATAAATAGATAAATAAAGTTTTATATAAATAGAAAATATTAATAAAATAGAAGAAAAAAAAATAGTTTTTAGAATAATCTTAATTACTAGTAAAAAAATAAATAAGAAAAATATAACAGAAGAAGTAGTAACTAGAATATAAAAAAATAAATAAATTTTCTAATATTTAAAAATAGTATATTTAATAAATATTTTATATAGTAAAGATATTAGTAATATAAGAAACTTAAAAAATATAATTAATTTAATAACTAGATTAAGAAGTATATTATTCTTAGTTTTATTAAAAATAATAAGAGAATAAGAAAAAAATATAAATATTTATAAAAATAAAGACTATACTAATATAAAGACTAAGATCAGAATATCTAAGTTTTTAAAAGCTATAGTCTTAAAGTATTTAATTACAGCTATAAAAAAATACTTATTTAAAGTCTATTTAATAGAATAATAATATATCTCTTCCTATAATAAGACAAAGTATAAAATTAGATAATATTATTTAAATAGAATCTTATAATACTCTTCTTAGGAATATCAAGACTTAATATTAGTAGTAAAAATAAGAATATTATTAGAAAAAAAAAGATTTACAGATAGATATTTTATATTAATAAAATAAAAAAAATAATATACTGTATTAATAATATTTTTCGGAATATTAAATATAGAAAAAGTAATATATAATTTATATATAATAGATATAGACAGAAGACAGTAAAATTAAAAAAAAATATATATTTTATAACTAGAACAGCACAGAAAAAGATATATAAATATAAATATAATAAAAAATTACTGGAAAATATAGAAAAAAAGAGAAAAAATATTTAGAAATCAAAAAAAAAAAATTAGTAGAATAAATAAAAATATTTAGTTTTCTAGATATATAAATAAATAAATATACAGATATCTCTACTATAAGAAAATAAAGTAAAAATATTAATAATATTACTGTATTTTACTATAAACTATATATTAATCTACTATAGATTAACTATATTAGAGTATATGATTTTCTAGAGAATAATAGATTTACTTTTTTCAGATTAACTAAAGAAATAAACTAAGATAATATTATTAATATTAGGCTCTGGCCTATAAAAGAATAATAAAATCATAGAAGCTTAATTAAATTACTAAATATTACTGGAGCGGAGCTTAGTTACAGGACAAGATAGGCAGCTCGGGACAGAGAAACATGTCTCCAGGAAGCTCGGGACGGAGGAAACCGGTGACATTTTTTATATTAAATAACCTGTAGAGTTAGCTACTGGTATAAATAAAATTAGAAATTAAGTTAATATATCTGTTATAAAATAACTAGTATATCAGCTGTTTATAGCTGTTATTATTATATAATTTATTATTTCTGTACTATTCTCTTCTACAGTATAGTAGCTTATATAGACTGATTGGGAATAGTATTCTATAAGAACCACAGGAAGTGATACTAGTTTATACTGGAGAAGCGGAATATCTACTGCTGGTGGGTGGTCGTCCTGGTCTGCTCTATAATCCTGTGCCTGTAGACCATACTGGTAATGTGGGAGGAGTGTGCAGCCTGCAGGTCAGCGATATGATCCTACCAGCCCTGCTCGTCCAGGCTGTCCTGCTTTATAAATAAGAACTAGATCCTGTCTCTGGGAGGACTTTTAAATTATATTTTAATTAATTAATTATTAGGCTAATTAGTTAGTATAGATAGAAATTAATTAGATAAAATTTAGTCCTAGTAAAGAGTACTTATATAACTATTTATTCTACTATTACTTACTGCGTTAATCAGCTCCTGGGGAGGAGATACTTGGTAAGAGATTTTATTTACTTATTTACTTATCTATCTACTTAGTAGAAGGTGCTTGGTAAGAGATCTTTCTGCCTTGTTTACTTATTTACTTATTTACTTGGTGGAAGGTGTTTGGTGAGAGGCCTTACTGCCTCGCTCGCTTGCTTGCTTAGTGGAAGATACTTGGTGAGAGGCCTTGCTGCCTTGCTGCCTCGCTCGCTTGCTTGCTTAGTGGAAGGTGCTTGGTAAGAGGCCTTGCTTGCTTGTTTACTTACTTACTTGTTTAGTGGGAGGTGCTTGGTAAGAGGCCTTGCTGCCTCACTGCCTTGCTTACTCACTCGCTTGCTTGCTTACTTATTTGCTTACTTGGTAAGAGGTGCTTGATGAAAGGTCTCTTAATGTATTGATTCTGCCGGCAGAACACCAACCAGAAACTCATTTGCCCGATGGCGGCAATCGTCCGCTGTACCCCGCACCTGGGCAACCAATAGAAGGACCGAAGGTGATAGGTTTCACGGATGAGAATGAGGAGAACAGGGGAGCGGAAGTGTATTTAAAGGTACTAGAAAGCCGCCGGTCCGGAGTAGAATTCGTAAGCTTGTATACAAATACTCCCTTTTGCAACCCCATAAGCTCAGGTCCTCTATCAACTCACTATGACTTGCATCGATGTCCCTTTGTCCACATTGCCTGTTCCGCGTGTTGATGAGTTAGAGTCAGGAGTATGCGTACTCCCGCCACTCAGCCGCCGGGCGAAAGGTCCTGGCATGATCACCATCCTTCCTGACGGGCCTTCCAACAGCCACGGCCACATCCTGGTTAATGGAGTTTTAAGCCCATCCATGAAATGGGCCGAGGAAGGCTATACTGTGGTCGAGATCCGGGGGTCAGCTCTGGAGCGCGGTTATTCATTAAGCCGAGCAATTGAAGCCCTAGCCCAGCACGACCAGTGCACTCCGAAGGGCGTCATTGGTCTTATAGGTTAGTCTAGGTTCCTTTTCGAAACCTTCAGGATGAATACAGTAATTTCAATGTGTCTCACATAACCTATAGTATACGGCACTCGTCTCTGGGAGATGGCCCAAATAGAGCCCGAGCTGGAAAAAATCACCGCGGCGGTTGTCTATGGGGCCGCATCTGAAGCCACTCAACTGAGACTAAACAAAATTCCCATCGTGCAGCATCTGGCAGGGAAAGCGTGCGTCCCGCTGCTAAGAACGGAAAATCTCATGCAGTATGTGTACTCGCTCACCCGCAGTGACGCCTTTGCCCTCCCCTTTTCCGCAGATTTCGATTACGCGGTTGAAGGTATAACGCACACACGCAACCTCATCTTCCTGAAGAAGCACTTAAACGGCCCCTACTTTGACCTTGAGGCCATCTGGGAAGAGCATACCTACTTTGAGTTTGAAAACCGATCGGTAGAGCATACTATGAACACCATGGTCCAAGAGCCCTATGTGAATCACATCCCCACCGTAAGTGCTACCTCTTCCCTTAGTCCCTTACCGGAAGCTCCGGTATCATTGAACCCATTATTGAATTCATCATTCCAGTTAACAGGGGGAATTGGTCGCGAGCTTTTGACTCACTTCTACCGCGACCACTTCATCTTCAAGAACTCGGCAAACACGACAAATCAGTTGGTCAGTCGCACGATCGGAATTGACCGCGTTGTGGATGAGTTCATCATGACACTAACGCATGATTGCGAGATCGATTGGTTGTAAGTTTGACGTCTCCTATCCTCTGGGAAATAAGTCTACTTGAAACCCCGGCTGAACCATGAAAAGAATCCCAGGAATTCCTCCGACCGGCTGTGAATTAGAGATCCCCTTCATGGCGGTCGTCAATATCCGGGGAGACCGACTCTACCACGAACATATTACCTGGGATCAGGCCACCGTGTTGCGGCAATTGGGCTTACTGCCCGAGTACATGCCCTATCCCTACGCCCTTCCTGATGGGAGAGAGCCGGCTGCAGGGAGGATATTCGAAGTCCGAGTACCCGCTGCGGGTGCCGAGACGGCTGCCAAGATGCGTGATAAGAACGCTGTGCCGTCTAATTTGCTTTTCGCTGGAGGGATCCGGGAAGTTCAAGTGTCGGGGAACAATAATTGAGGTCATAAGCTCTAGACCTTTTTGTTTGTTTGAATTCGACTTAGGGGGCTTAAAAGATATGTTCATACATTCTGTAAGGAGGATACAAAAGAGAGCCTTGTTGGTACCCCTGTTGGCGAAACAGTATTGATCTATAAATTTTATTTTTGCGACGTTGTGACTGCAGACCATTAGCTTTGCCCGTGCAGTGCTTCCCATGAATTGGTGGTATGACTTACCCCGTTATAACAAGCACTAAACTCTCCATTGTCGGTCGATGAGCCTCGGGGGTGCCGGTAATATCAGGGCTCTGGGAAAACCTTACTTGTTTGATGCACACCTGACTTCTGTCAAGAAAACTCAGCATGTGCTTGCACCAGTGCAGCTATTATACTGAGGGTATGTAGTTCCATCATTTTTGGCCAAATTGTTTATTCTAAGCAAGCTACCAAGTGACTGAAGACGAGACAAAGAGAGTATACGGTGGCAAGATGAGCTAATGACCGCTGGACTCTAATCAAACGGTTCTGGTATAGCAGATAATAGCGGGGCCATAACGTCCGCTCGATGTACAGTAATGGGTGCACTCAGTCAAGGTGCAATTGGGAACTTTGTCCGAAGTCTTTCGCCAAACTTGAAGAATGCCAGCGGCAGTGGAACCATTATCAAGGCAATCAAGGCGAGCAATGAGTTACCCCACCCCAAGCCCAGCGCATCATACATTGAGGGTCCAGCCAAGGGCAACACCGCTCCAATTAGGGATCGCAAGACAGTATTGGCTGCTGCCGCCGACGCAGCCTGCGCCGTGAAGGCTTCGACAAGATACGTTTGAATCGCAGTCTGGATCCCATTAGTCGACGGTGATTAGCCATTGCCTACAATTTCTTGAAAAAGCGATAGTATAGGGAAAAACAGAGCACTCACAAACACAGCCACTACACCGACTCCAACCCACCCGGTCCCAATTATGGGCATGATCCAATGCACCTGCTTGTCGGCGGACCAGCCATACCAGACCAGCCCAATGGGAAGGCAGAGACTCATAGGGATCATCAACGCCAGACGAAACTCGGGTTTCTTGACTCCCTCTTTGCTCTGAGCAGCGAGATGGCGGGTGATGGGGTCCGATAAGCGGCCCATGGCTATCAGCCCTAATATCGAGCCCAGTCCCAGCCCAATGTAGGTGAGGCCGATGATACTGGTGGAAAAATTGTACTGATCGTGGTAAACCTGCGACATGGTGGTGAAGAGGAGATACATGAAGCCGTACACTACGGCCACATATATAGATAGCAGGGAGACTATCGGAGAGAGGACCAACAGCTGAAGGGGGAGAACGATGGATTTCGTGAACAGAGCCCGCGGGGTCAGGTCCCGGTGGAGTGCCGACCGTAATTGGTAATTGCCCGCTTCGCGTCTGAGCCGCTTGGCCTTGCGCTCCAGAAGGATTGGGGCGTAGGTTTCGCGGAGGATTATGAAGGAGGCCGCGGTGACGACGCCTGCCTGTGATTTGGCTTCCATATCAGCTAACTCTGTCCATCGTTAAATGGAATAGGAAGGGAATATCTACCGCAATTGCAATTACCCAGAAGACCCAGCGCCACGACGCATTTTGGGTTAAGAATCCACCGCAAACACTGAATAGCAAGACGCCGGCATAAGATCAGCTTGTGTCCTCAAGGTTTTGTCGCAGCAGATCAGCATTTGATGGGAACAACATACGGGCCAACCACTGGGCCAATTACGGGTCCAACAGCCCAGACCGCAATTGCCAGACCGCGACGATCCGGCGCAATGCAGTCCGCTAGGGTTCCAGCTCCTAGGGCTAACGGTGCACTTCCAAACGATCCGGCCAGAAAGCGGAACCCGATCAAGGAGGACATGCCGGGCGCCACCGCGCAGGCGATATTGAACGCGGTGAAGAGCATGTTACAGGCGTGGTAGAGCGGCAGACGGCCATAGAGCTCGGAGAGGGGCGCGACTAACAGGGGTCCACATGCGAACCCGAGCAGATAGATTGAGACCACGAAGGTTGAGATGGGCTTGCTGGTCGAGTGGAAGTCATTCATCACTTGTGAAACACCCGGGGCGAACATGGCAGACCCCAGGGGACTGGAACTTGATATCAGCGCGCAAGCCTCATCTTTCTCAAGACGACATGGGTTCTGGAGACATACGTCAGAAAGTTGAAGACCGATACGGTGCCAACGGCCATGATCTTCTTCGCCGCACTCCAGTTCATAGGATTTGCCGAGTCGTCCGGCCCGTCCCAGTCGGCGATGTCGGGACACAATGTTCCAGCATCTTCATGCTTAGGATCATGCTTTATGGGGCAGCCTGTAGACATCCTTTGAACCCTCGAGGGAGAGGCCACTGCTCTACTTGGTGAAGTTTGGGATGCCAGACGATGGACAAGAGCTTAGATTTTCGGAAGTACTGTTAGAGACACGTGAGAGACAGGAAAAAATATTTAGCCTGGTTAGGGTATGAGATCGAAGTAAAGACACAGAGGCCTGCCTCAGCATGGTGTAACGAAGATTAATTGTATACCAGGACCCGCTTATCTTATAAGGCTTCTGATACTTGAATCCATGTATAGATACTACAAAAGCCGTAGGGATTATGCACTGCATAAAAGTTTCCGTCTGATTTTATTCTTCTGGAGGAAATAGGGTTGACCTGAGAGTGCAATCAACGTCCGGCAGTGGTCTAAACTTACATTATTCGGCAGGGCGGGCACTCTCGGCTTCCGGGATCTCCCAGCTTCGGAATTCCCTGCAATGCCGAATCCAAGGGGAAGGTGGATTTCGCTCCTCCGACGGAGTTAATACTCGTGCATGCATAACTCCGATTCTTCTTAGTTGTGGTCTTGTTAGTGCTGTGGAGGAGTGAAACGAAACAAACAATCCATCTTAATCACACCATGCCCCGTTTTGCATCGGATCACGGAGCATAATGGGATGTGTGCATATCTTCCCACTGCTGGAGTTATCTGTCACTGTGTAATGACAGAATTAACGATTGCTAAATTCCTCAACCGTCCAAATTTGTAACAAGAACTACCGAAGTGAATTGCCCTGCCCAATCATACTTGTTTGTCTTCATGATCGGGTTTGAAGCAGTTGATCGATCTGGCATGTTAGGGTGCAATTTGTACAACCTACTGTTAGAATGCTGTTTCTATGTCTGATCCTCCCAAAAAGTCCACATCCTCAAATATTAACAATAATCCATCAATGTCAAATACACCTCTTTTAGATAAATTCAAACTTAGACAAACACCAATTAATAATACAATGATATACTGTTACGGTAAAGTCTACAAATATTTTTAGGTAATTTTGGTCATTTTTTCCATCTAACTGGCCAGGGAAGGTAGTCGAATAAGCGCAAGAAGTTCGAAGTAATGCCCTACTGGCATTTCAACCACTCGTTTCACGATCGAGTTTGCTTGACCAGCCTTTTTGCAAAACCCATCCTTAAAAAAGGGCTGGATGAAAGAACGACGCTCTTCTCTCTCCCCGAATGTGATTTTGTCATCAGGCCAAGTACATAATGCCGCCGGCATGAGCAGTAAAACTCTCATGAATCAGGCTCATTTGCACACTGTAGAGTACCTCCTACATCGAATGAGCGGGCGCATTGAGCGCTCCCTTGAATCTGCGGCGCGGATCGTATCGCTTACGCAAGTCCTGCAATTTGGTGACATGGGCCCCCCAGATCTAAGAGATTGTTTTGTCAGCAGCCGAACGGGGGTAAAAGGATCTGCTAGTGCACATACCTTGGTCACATCATGGTAGTTTTCGAGTCCATTCGGCAGAACGTTGAGATCTGCATCAGTCCCCAATACTTGAGCAGGTGCCTTGATGGCAAGAACCCGAGCCAGATGCTCTTTGCTGGCATCGGCCCCTGCAGGGCATCCGGTTCCAAGAAGTAAGATGTGCTTCATCTCAGGGGCTCGTGGCCAGGCACAACTCGAAATTCCTCCCACAGGATCGCACTATATTTTACGGCGGTCAGAGCATTTGTTGGCCAGGGGTTTCGGAAAGTTGGCTTCTGGCAGCTGTGGGGCTTACCGAGCTGAGAAGTTCGAAGATAAGATAGGTGCAGTCGCCAAGTGCGGCGTCAATCTCCCGTATTCCTTCAAACCATTGAACAGCATTGATGACGTGCTCTTTGGTGATATTCTTGAGCAGCAACGGCTGCCAGAACTGTTTCATGCTACCCTTGACCATACCCGCCTTATCTGTAAAGAGAACCCTACGTTAGTAGCTTTCCGAGAAAATGACACTGCTGCCGCAAGGAGATTGTTGGAATTTGCTTCTTACTCTGCAAATTGGCGACGCCAGAGAGAGTCGTAATCTTGGATTGATCAACTGCGCCTGGGATTTCCAATGCCCACTTGAAGCAGGACCGGCCATGCTCCTCTCCGTTAGCGTCGAATGCGTGAATGACCAGCATATTTGAGTTAGTTCCGATCGACTCGAGGAGCCGCCCCTTCACCACGTACAGGAACATGGTAATCTTAGGGTCGACAGGCTTCGAGAGAAAACTCTCAATCCCCTCTGCGACTTCCTGCAGCCGTTCGCGGGGTACTAGGATAGGACCGGCCCAGATCTTTTGGGGATAGGGGAACACTCGGAGCTTGACCTGGGTAATCACTGCATCGAGGAAGGTCGAAATTAGTGCAATTCGCAGAGCAGAAAGCCACAAAGATTTTTCTCACCACCAAAGCCCCCGCCACCACCGCGGAGAGCCCACAGCAACTGTGGCTCTTTGGATGCCCATACTATGGACCCATCATACTTGACGACCTGGGTGTCCAGCATGTTATTTGGATCAGAGATGCAGCCATGCTCACTGGACACCCACGAATAGCCTCCGCAGACGATAGTCCCCGCTACTCCGACACAAGGCGTGCGGGCTCCGACGACTGTTTGTTGAGGTAACTGGTTAGCGAACCGTGTGATTCAGGTAGACTTAGATATCCCGGTATATGAAGGATTTGCTTACCGCCATACTCCGGAGCGGCCTCGGCCAGCTTCTGATAGACGTCTGACCAGGTCTGCCCGGCACCAACAGTCACCACCTCCGCCTGCGCATCAAAGTGAAAGTTATTGAACGCCGAGGTGTTCACCAGCACATCCTTGGCCGAGGCGGAACCGAAACCCTGGCCGTAAATAGCAAAATCCAAGTCTGTGGTGTACAGGTAGGCAAGAGCCCTGCTTAGTGCCTCGATCGAAGTAGGTCGAATCACCAGGCTGGGCTTTGCGTGCTTGTGAGCCGCCCATGTCTGGCTACTTGCCTGATAACCCGGAGAATCCGGAGTGATGATCTCATCTGCCCGCAGGAGGTAACGCAACTTAGCGAGGTGACCTTCCGTCATGGTGACTCGGTCTCTGGTTCGATACTAAGGCTTAGACCCGATGAAAAGGGAGGCAGAGAGAGAGAGGCCGATCAGAGAGTTTCCTGTCAAGCAAAGAGTGCTGATGATGAGCAGTCTAGCTATAGAGTGGAGAGGATGGGACTTCAGTTTTATCATAACTAAGTCTCTTGAGTCAGGCACAAGGTCTGCATTCCTTGTCTGATAGACTTCTACAAGGCCATGCAGGGTACTGAGGACGGTCTTTAGCGTAGGTCACTTGCTCGGCGATAGTCCGCATGCAGGTTTCCAGATTAATTCGTCACTCTGCCCCACTACTCTCATTTACTAATATCGACCTGGGAAATGTGAGTCTGGGCAGAATCTTAACAAAACTACTGCGGAGTTTGGATTGCCGTGAAGATATTCTTGATTGGCAATCAGAGTGCCTTTTTGGGTCGGATTTCCGGAACCTCCTTCCGAAAACCCCGAGCCAGCCCAACTCATCTTTTACGGCGTCGGTTTTTGGAACACCCGGTGGCTTTTCTCGGGAAGGGCAGGCCAGAGATTAGTATCGTTTTTCTCTACCATTTTAGGATCTGCTGATAAAAGCTAGCTATTCGCTTTACCTGTTTCTGGAGCATCCGTCTGTCCACCATCTCACCCCCCACCACCACAGATCCTACCATGTACAACGTCCTCATCACAGGAAGCTCCCGTGGCCTTGGCCTGGAGTTAGTTCAGTACGTCGCTGCCCACCAGAATTTCAAGGGTGGCTTGGTTATCGCAACCGCCCGTAAGTGCAGCCCACAATTGGACAAAGTCGTTGCAGCGAGCGATGGGTCCGTAGCGTTTGTTGCGCTTGACGTGGCAGATGAGGAGTCCGTCAAAAAGTCGGCAGAGGAAGTCAAGTCAGCATTGAGAGAGCGGAGCCTGGATATGATCATCAACTGTGCCGGCGTCCATAGCGAGACACAGGGTAAGGTCACTGGAATGTACAGCAACCCCGCCTAGCTTTCCTCCCCGTCGGTGGTATTTTAGCGAGCACGGGCTAACGGAAGCCATCCGAAATCAGGACGGACCTCAACTGGCAGCTTTCGGTCAATGTGAGCGGCACGCACAATGTTCTGCGCCATTACCTCCCTCTTATGGATTCGAGCCACTTGAAGAAGGTGATTAACATGTAAGTACATGAGGGAGATTACATTCCAGGCTTCCTTTCTGTCTATTGATTGTTCCAACGCTAACAAGCGAATCGCACAGCTCAAGCGTATACGGATCTATGACCCTAGTTAAAGAAGTCGCACATGCTCCTTGCCCGGCCTACAAGATTAGCAAAGCCGCCTTAAATGCATTGACGGTACAATATGCTGTCTCATACGAATATGAGGGGTTTGTGTTCCTTGCAGTCAATCCTGGAGTAAGTCGCTCCTCAAATGTTTGCAATGAGATTTCCTCCATACTAAAGAATAGGAATTAGTGGCTGAAGAGTGATATGGGTGGGCAAGATGCCGATCTCACCCTCGCAGAAGGTGCGGAGGCAGTATTGAAGCTTGCCCTCTCGGCCGATCGCCGAGACAATGGTAGGTTCAAGAATATCCATGTGCCAGGATGGGATAAATATGATGGGCATGATGTGCCCTGGTAAATTGTTGCAGCGTGGCATCTGGTTCTCCACGGATATATCATCCAAACGATATTTTTCGGGATATATTTTTCCGTCAATTGCATTGCGAAGATTTTCGAGGTAGGATAAAAAGCGACATTTATATTATAGACCAAAGAGCAATTGACATTCATAAGATATATCGACAGACTCAAAAACACTAGAGTTGAGAGACCTGTCTGTTCATTTGCATGACATTAGTAGGCCAGGATGATGTCAGGTGATGCGCCGAGGCATTCACGCATTCAAGATTTAGACACCGAGGCATTAAGGCATCGGATATCCACCGTAAGCATCGGATGGCTGGTTTCTCCAGCCCGCTCCACCTTCTCCGCCTCTTGGCAAAACCGCCGGGCGGTGGGATTTGCAACATCACTCACGCTTCCCATCCTCCAAAAGAGACGGTCAATTGAATGCGATGATATCAAACCAGTTTGCACCTACTGCAGATATTCCCCCTCCTGCAGATATTCTCCCTGCTGTGGGTCCCGCTTTTACCTCAATTATTCGCCTTTGGTTCAGTTGTCGGAGTCTAACTAATCGCAAACAGTGTGACCTGTGCCATGCCAGAAAGGTTCCTACGTGCCTATCGTCCATAATTTAGAGATGGTCTGACCTTTGCCCCTCATTTAGGTGAAGTGTAGTAGGCAAGCACCATGCGCCAACTGCAGGGATGCTGGGACGGCGTGCCGACGCACACGCAGTGGACGAGCATCCAGAAAAAGAAACCTTCTGAGGTCTGCGGTCGCTTCCACCTGTCACATGAATCAGGAGCAAATTTATCGATCCTGACATAAGTCTGCAGCTTTATAACTCCTCAGGAGTCTATGATAGATCTCGAGAGACATACATCAGATACTCGCAGGTAGGGTGCAAAGGCCGCTTGAAGAAGAATGATAATCATCTTTCTAACATCAATTGTGCCCAGGAGACTTCCGAGTCCTAATTCTAGGGTAGGAGAAAACGGTCCTTTGGGAGATTCTGGATCGAGGCCAAGAGGGGTTGGGCAACATGGCCAGAATCCTACAGAATGGCCCCCGCCAACTGCTGTCTCGACAACAAGCGATGATGGATCGAATTATCATGCGATGCAAGCAAAGGACATTATTCAAATAGACCTCCAAAACTCCCTCCACATCAGTCGTGAAAGACAGTCTTTATTGAAGTCTGCCCTAGAATTGGTCAGTAGCATCGCCGACAGTCAGACTCTGACAGCCATGGAAGAAGAGCCTCGTTCCCACGACCCTCCTTACCCAATTCCAGAAACACCACCGCGCGAATTACTCTTCATGCTCCTGCCTGGTAGAACCTTTAACTTCCCGTCAAGCATTAATCTCACTTCTAATGGAAGATAGGCCCTCCGGAGTCTCTCCGTATCCAGTGGCCGGATCACATATCCGATAAGTCATACGCGGCGATGGCTACCACCTTGTTACGAGCCCCTTCCGAACTCAATGCCTCTCGATTCCATCAATACTGCGTTTGCATATACGTGAAAGCAATCTTTTGTTTGTATCAAACTTCACGAACCACAGATGACCCTGTTTTGAAAAGTGAGCTTTCAAAGTCCAAAGTAACTTATGTAGCGGCAGCCATGCGCAGCACAGGGCAGTTCAACATCCTACAACCACCGGATTTATCAGCAATACAATCTCTGCTCTCTAGTGTAAGTTGTTCTCCCATATGGGTGAAACATCCTCATTGACCTGTATTGTTTCTTTAGGCATTGCTCATGCAGCACTTGGGGAGACCTTGCCAATGTTGGCTTTTTGTCTCGTATGCTGCTCGACAAATCACAGCCCTCAATTATCATAAGATCTGCAGACGACCAGCTGCCTCGGATCTCGAACATGAGATCTGCAGCGCTGTATACTGGTGCTATTATCTTGATTCAACGTTGAGCTCTTTGCTCTGTCGCCCTACTTCGCTACCGTATCTGGAGATTTCCCCCACCGATCTTATCGTATTGGCGCCCTCGTCTCCGTACGACAGCCTTTTGCGTGTCCTACTTGATCTCGCTCAGGTCCAGGGGAATCTGCGAGAAATATCTTGTGGTGGCAGAAACGGACCCAGCGACCGAGCGCTTGAAACTTGCCAGCTCCTCAACGCCAGAATGCACGACATTCTCCCACGACTACAGTCGGTATGTCTTCACTTTCTTGCCCTACAATTGCATGCTCTAAGATAACTACTCCTGTAGAGCCGTGATTGTCATCCCAAGATGGTTCAATATGACTGGGTTGGCGTTGACTTCTGCTTCTACGCGATCTTCGTGGAGATTCACCGCACGCGCTTGAAAAATGCATTCAGCCCCGCCGTCCATCGTGAATGCCTCGTCTATGCTCGAAAATCACTCCAAGCCTTTCTGTTTCTTCAACAACATCCAGCTGAGCTACCGGGATTCGACGATCCATATCCATCGTTCTTGACATGGTGTGCCCCTCTTCTCTTTCTATCCTCCCCCAAGCATAATGGGCGGAGTCAACTTACAATGGGCCCGCCTTAGGACCCTACTATTCTACCCACTCAGCGCATTCTTCGTCGTTTTCTGCAACATTATTGGAACCATGAATCATGACGATTACGAACTCATGCGCCAGATCATCAAGGGCTTAGTGCCATTCAAAGAAGATTGCCACCTGGGCAAGCTTCTGACCCTGTTGCAGTCGCTGGAGCATCTGTGCAAGCCATTATTCCACAGCCCAATCGAAGGTGGTGGTGGATCAAGAGGGGGCTTTTCTGAGGGGAGCGTCGCACAGCGGACTTTTCTGGCACCGGGTGATCTCGCCGATAATCCGGTCTCGACAGGGGCCTTTCCTTCAGGGCCTTTGGAGAATCACAATGGCAGCAACCAAGTGGCACCTGACACTAATGCTGACTTGTCTGCTGACTGGCTCATGTGGCAGCTGTTCAATAGCCAGGTTCCGGCCGGGTGGCTGAACCATGAAATTGACCCTTTCGATGTGTGACGCTGACGCTGGATGATGGAATCTGGGGTAAAACTTAATCTACATAGGATAGGAAAGTTCATATCACCTTATGAATTATTCATGGTTGGAGGTTATAGTAGAGCAATCCTGTGGCCGAGAATGAGCAACCTCTTACACAACGTCTTCCGCTGCGGCTCTTCTCTCGCTTACCACCACAGAAGCTTTCTCGGAATCGAATTACCCAATCGGACCGGACTTCCGGATGACCCGCGGCTCGGACATCCGCATCCTTTGATCAGCTGTTCATTCGCCGAGTCAAAATCGCTCTATTTCAATGCGCTGCGGTAAGCCCGACAACAAATATACAACAAAGCATTTGCAGCAGCTTATCTAAGCTTGTTCAGGTCGCTTCGAGTAAGTTGAGACGTCACCCAGCCTCAATTTCACGAAGCCCCAACTAAAGACCAGAAAGACACACACAAGTCCCATACGTCAAGATACTGCCACCAACAGCCACAAAACGTGACCAACATCCTGAAACGCCAAAACAATGCACTCCCATGAAGATGCCGGTCACACTGTCCACGTCGAGGACCTGAAATGGCTCCCCCTTGCCCCCAAAGTCTGGATTAAAGTCGTCAAGCTAGTCCCCGAGACTGGCGAGTACACGGTCATGGTTCGCGCTGACCCGGGAGGTATGCTCCCGCGTCACCGCCACGTTGAGAGTGCCGAGATCTACGTCCTGAAGGGCAGCGGCGCGCACCCGCAAACCGGCGCCTTCGTGGCGGGAGACTATGTGTCGGAGAGCAAAGGCGCGGTCCACGACCCGCTGCCATTTCATTGCGAGACCGAGCTGCTGATGGTCAGCCGAGGACCATCGGCGTTTTTGGCGGATGATGGATCGGATATGTATATGATGGATGTGCAAATGCTGCAGGGAATGATGAAGGCTTCGGAGGCGACGGTTTAAATGACCCTCCCCTGTTTCTCGAGGTCTCTGTGTGCACGTTTCAGTCTCAACATGTGACAAGGTGGATACTATTTTCTTTTGCGCTCGTAAATGTTACATTGCTGTTCCATTTCGGCTAGCTGCAAGTAGATTGATAATGCATGGTTGTTTGAATCATATTCTGCTCCGCGCAACCTGGTGTTCGTCAAACACTGGGTTGGGCCAGGGGAAGCCGGGTTAAGAGCTAACTTTCCAGGCCCCCTACAAGATACTAGTCGACAAGGTGGAAATTCATGCGCTGCTGAATAGGCTGGAAAGATTACCTTCAACTATCCATGGTTTCCAGGCATTTTGTTCGCAGGCACTGTGGAGCAATTCGGTCCTGGACTGACTTCCATCCAAGCTGGGGATCCTTTTGCTGTGAAGCGCACAAAGCGCACGGGAGTTTTACCGACGACAGATTTAACACACCTAGGTAGGGTGCAATTAGGAATTGAATGCAGAGAAGTAGGACCATTCCCTGGCGTGGTCCTTCCAATTATGTTCGTTTTTGTTAATTTTTGCTCGTCCTAAGACGTCTTTATCGCCTTCAGCAAGTCACTTGGTATTGAGTCACCAAATTCCAGTGGTTCTGTGAAGCCTTAGAAAGAGATGCACAAACCCACGATCACCTATACATTGCCGAATTCGTCGTCAAAGAGCCGGGACCATATAAATTGTAGACCGAAGGCGACAGACGGCTATTTGGTGCCGATGAATCCTTAATCCTTCCTTTAAATTTCTTCATCATGCTTCGACAAATATCTCTCGGAAAGGCTGTTCAAAATTCTGCCCTTACAAATAAGATACAAAGACTTGGGCCTGAGCCATACAGTCCTCGCTGATTGGCCCTTCCTGGGATGGATGCCTCTGGGACATGAATTGAAACGCGCTGATCGTGAAATAGCCAGGCCAACCCGCAAAAGTCAAGATAGTCATCTTACAATGAATACCGACTGCCCGAAAAGCACGGAACCAGGCACTTAGGCATGTCCCGCTCAATCAAGCACTTGAACCGCCAGCCAGTGCAGTGGCCGGCCAGCATGACCTTGGGGTCAAACATTTTCAAATCCTTCATCGTTGCTTCAAGCTTCTCGTCGCTAGCGTCAGCCAAGTGATACCCACCCACCACGCTGTACAAGGGCACGCCTTGACCCAGCGCGATGGCGTCGCGGCAGGTGTTGACAATGCCCGCATGGCCACAGCCGGTGAAGAGGACCAATCCCTTTCCTGCCAAACAAACCATCAGCTATGAGTCAGTCCACAATGTAGGTGTGGCTACTGCTCTGACTTACCTTTGAGGTTACACATTACGTAGCGTTCTTCCATGATCAAAGTATCCTCCTCCCACTTCGCCTTGGCGGCGTCGTAGCGCAGGCCGCCGTGGATGCCATCCTCATAGGTCGTCTTGCGGGGAACTTCGCCGGACACCATGAAGAAATTATCCAGGACGGTGTGGGGTTGGTCACTCTTGACGACCTGTGCCCCTGCTGCCGCAAGCTCCTCGAAAGAGGGATCAGCCTCCAGTGAGAGCGGCTGCTGCGCCTGTACACCGCGGAAATCCGGGCGGTTGGGATGCACATCCATCACGACCCGATCGCGGTCGATCCTTTTTTCCTGAATCATCTCAATCGCACGCACCAGACCCCCTGGACGAGGTTAATTCACGTCAAAGGAAACTCCTGGAACACCGAGACTGACCCGAGTGATCACGATGGTAGTGGGATAGCACGATATGCTCGATCTGGTCAATCTGCGACCGCAACCTTCGCGAATTGCGTTCCCACACCGCACCTTCCGGTCCAGCATCGAAGAGCAGCACATGCTTCTTCTCGCCCTTGGTCGCAATCTGCGGCCCCGTGGTTCAGTAAGTACATCGGTCTCCTCGGCAGGAAGTGAACAGGACGCACCAGGAGAAGCGAGATACCGTGCGCTGCACAACAAATATTGTCCATGCGCATCTCCATGGTGGCACCATCACGCTGGGTACCCGATGGTAGCGGCGAAAGCGGAATGCCCATGAACTGACTCGCGACCTTGACTGCGGGATTCATGCTCGGGGTGATGGGATCGAGTTCATCGTTGACGATGCAGTGAATTTCGAGGCTATCGATTTCATTCAACATGGTGGTATGGTGACTTGATGATTTTATTGAGATGGTACAAGGAGTACTAATAGTGACAGTGGTAAAGGAAGGGGACGGAAGATTTTCTCGCGGTATGCACTTTTAATCTATCGGCGATTGATACTGGAGCCTCTTTGGCTGATGATATAATCAATTACTCTTTTTTTTTTCTCTTTTTTTTTGGGTTTCCGGTCCGAGGTCGGTGGTATGGACTTCCAAGTCCGGTCTCCCGGATTGCGGGCAAAATAGTTAATCCACTAGTCCTTAGTCAACCGCTTTAAGTTTGGTAGAATTGCTTTGAGCGGAGTTAGGGATCTACTCCCGGCAGAGTCGCTCATCGCCCTCGGCAGCCCGAGTCTGTCAAGCGCCGCCCCTACAAGCTGCTGGAGAGTAACGATGATGGAGAAGTGCAAGTGTGCATGCTAGAAGCCCGATTGCTCTGGAACAGAGCGACTGGTCGTAATGGCGGACAGCTTGTGTCCAATGCGGCCGAGAACAATGCCTCCTGGCGACAGGCCCTGGGCCCCGAACAGGCGCGTCAGGTGATTCAACTTACCTTCAACAATGTGGAGAGGATGCAACAGTTGGTTAATGACGTTAGGCTGAAAGAGGAGGCGGAATATCGCGATATACAGAAAGTCCGAGCGTACTTCGACCATGATTCTTTCAATGCCATGTTATCCAGCGTGGCTCAACTCAAGGCGGACTGCCCAATGGTTTATGCACTATACGCCATGCTCACAGGCGCACAGGAAGTTGAAATAAGCTCTCCACCTTCCCCTTGATCTTTTGGAGAGATAGTTTACCTGGATTCCCAACTCATTTAGGGATGCAGGGTATATAGAGCAGTCGGAGCGATCTTGATGCGGGGTGCAGCACTGTGGCCTTATTGCCTGATGACCGCAGAACTTCAGCAGCTAATGAGGGCAGTATCCTCGGTTTGGAATTAAAACCTTCACCCCTGCTCTTACAGTCTCTGCCGACATATCTGGCTTCTATCTGGTACATACTCTTCGTGGGACCATTCGCACCAAGACCGTAGTCTACTGTACTAATGGTCATACTGGCCGTCTCATCCCGAAATTGAGAGGGGCCCTGTAAACCCTGCGCGGCATGATGACTGTCCAAGACACACAGGACCAGCGCCCGAACTGCGGTGACAAACGATCGTGGACATCTGTGCATACCCCAATATTTGATCCCACAACAGGGACCACCGCCGACAGGATGGCCTATTGCACCCAAAGAAAAACCCTTGGGTACTTCTTCGTTGGCGGCGACCAAAGAGATGCCCAGGGGGCGATCACAGGCAACGACACAGCGCTACTCGGAAGCTCTATCATACACGTAAACGCCTGCTTTGCTCCTCCATGGGAGTCCAGAGTCCCGAGGTGAGCCGGGCGGTATCAGCGTGGACGGGGATCATGGGCCTCACTGCCGATAGCTTTCCGATAGTTGGTCAACTTTCCACCGCTATGACCAGGCGTGCAGGGCAAGGAGAGTGGATTGCTGCAGGTTTCAATGGATATGGAATGTCCTACTGTTGGCTTTCCGGAGACTGTCTGGCAAAGGGCAATATTAGACGCCCGGTGGACGTCGCACTATTCCGGATGCTTTCCAACCTATTCCGCAGCGACAGGCTAAACTCTTAAGGACGTACAACTCAACCAAGGAGTTGCTGTCTCTTTTCCCCGCATTTCCGCGGAGGTGTGGGCCTACCTCTTGAAGCGATATGATAGGACGAAATTATCGTACCCATGTTTGAGTTCATAATATTCATAATAAACCCGCTAGATTATGGGGACTGATGTACGTTAGTTATTCGAAGCTCAAGGTGATGATTGGAAAAGATTACTGGGGTCCCTTGCTCCGATGAGTTTTTCCAACACAACAGCCTTCTCTGCCTGTTAGCAAAACGGCCCGTCGAAATTTAACTGAGTGATAATGATGCGAACCGACCTACGCCCTCGCAGTCTGTCAAGGAAAAGAAGAAAAAAAGAAAGCGGAAATTCTTTCTAGGGAGAGCTCGTATTGATGCCTCAATTGCGAGACTTAGGTGATTAGAAGAGGGAGATCTGAATAGTCAGTCCAGGCGCGCCACGTGTTTCTAAACCCCGCATGGACTTCACCCCGCATTTCGCATCTTGTGACTCATGGCAGTAGTACAATACATGAAGCAAAGGAGACTATAAAATCTCGCTCGTCGAGGGAGACCTTCTTGCTTTGGGCCCGAAAATCTAGTCCCGTCCGTCCATTCCGCTGACTGCTCCATCCTATGAACAATCTGTCCTCATCTACCCCCACCGCCACTATATATTTGGGGACCGACAACAAACCCAGTGCGAACACGCCCACGATCAACAAAGCATGGCAGATCATGTCTCCGTTCCCTCGGTCAAGGACGACCCTGAAACCCAATTTGTGGCACTTCATACTGCACCGGACGTGTACATCAATGCAAAGAACGATACTTGCTGGCTTCCTTGGGTGGGCACCATTGAATTGAAACCCTATCGCTTCGAAGCCCGCAGTGGGCAATTCGTTGTTGGGCTCCGATCCCCTGTCGATGCTTGCCTTGGGAAACACCGTCATCGCGGACCGGTCACAGCTGTGACGGTGGCAGGAAGTTGGAGATACAAAGAGTGCGCAAAGAGACACTACCCTTGGACCCTATTCGACGGAATAATCTCAAGCGCGTGGTACACTACAGACTTGCTAACTGTTCTCTTCTGGATATTGTAGGTATCAATGGATTGCTCACCCAGGCGACTACGTGGTGGAAAACCCGGGCACCATCCATACGCTGTACATCAGTGGGGGGTCGGAAGTGGTGTTTACCATCAATGGAAGTATTGAGTTCTTCGACGATAATGATCAGCTCAAGCAGACGATGGATATCTTCAGCTTTGCGAAACTGTACTATGATCATTGTGAGAAAGTGGGCATCCAGCCCAACCCGGGTTTGTGGTACTAGTCAGCGAATCAAATGTTGCAAGAATTGTATCTACTAGTACTTGATCAGGTAAGAATAGTGCTCAGGCTGAACTAAATCACTGTACCTCCCTGCTTTAGACAAACCAAGTCTGATGTCTCAGTTTTCGATAAGCACAACAGGGGTTTAGCGCTGGACCGATTCGCGCAACCGTGAGATTAGTCCCGAGAAACAAATTCGCCGGCGGGTAATTGTATAGTAACCACATTTAGTCGGCTTAGTTGCATATTTGGCTCGATAGTCACTGAGTGCTTGTGAGCTGGGCCCAAGGATAAGATTTATCTTTGTCCCTAATATCATAAGCCTCCCTATCATTCACTCGTGTCGGAGACAAGAGGAACGCAGAGAATCAGGAAGCCACCAAGAATGGGGAAGCTTGTCAGCTTCAAACTTAGCAACCATAACTGAAAAATCGCGCACAATCGCCACGAGATAGCAGGACAAGCGTGAGGCATTGATCTGCGAGTGGGACTTTCTCAACCCTTCATCATTAAACATTGAAAACGGCTCTCGCGTTATCCAGGTTGAGACAGATCAGTTAATTGACTCTCGACCTGTTTTTACGAGTGAGATCACCAACCGCACAAGTTGTGCGATGATGCTGAACCTGTTCGCTTCAGACGGAGAGTCAGACCCGGTGTTCAAGGTTACTGCACAGAAGCGCACAGGTATACTCAACTTCACCACCTGTATTCGCAAAAGCCTGTTGGACTTCTACGGTGCTGCGAACTCGTGAGCCTTGGTGGAGTCTTCTTAATCAAAACGGGTCGGGTCAAGCTCCACGTCATGCCTGACTCCCCCAAGCCCAAGCAGCTTCCATTTCAAAACCAGCAGCAGTTGAAGGAGGATTGGTTTCGGTATCAGATCTGTCCAGCTTCGATTGTCTGCCTGCCCGTCCTGCATAGCACGGATTCGGATATTCTTGGCCTGCGGTTGGAGCATACGCATTGTCTTGCTTTAGACGGAACCGGCAAAGGAGGCCACAATCATCATGACATTCTGGATGCGGATGAGGTCGGGTATGAAGCCTATCTTACCGTCGCTGATGCAATCTTTCGGATTGATCCTCCAGGCACTCCGACGAACAGGACGGCTTTCCGGGAGTTTGGGCCTCAGGGAATGGACGTTTCTTTTTATAGTTCTGTGACTAGATGCCATATGATTAAGTATAAGAACCAGTACTTGAAACAAGATATATCTCGCAGGCAGTGAAGACTCCAGGCACTTGCGGTAAACTAGCTTACAAGGTGTCGAGTATCTACAGGTGACAGAGTCTTTCCTGACAGCTGGTATGACCTAACAGTAGTCCACGTAATTGCCGAGCCATAGGAGCTGCTGTTGAAGATCTGATAGAAGTATATAAGAAAAGAGGATAGACTACCGGGAGCCGCAACTCACGTGATCTATTTTCTTACTAACATGATCGGGTCGCACCACTAAAATAACGAACATCTCCCAGATGCAACCTGAGGCGTCGAGGTGTCGAATTAACCCTCGGCAAAAATACTCAATACTTCGCTATGGCTTGTATCTTCGGAGTCATAACAATCTCATCACAAACAATAGACCACAATTGATCTCCGAGGAAGATGCGGCCAACGTCTGCCTGTTCATCATGTCGGTTAGCAATTCTCACGACTCTCCCGTGCCATTCCTTCCATCAAATTACTTACAGGCCATGCATCATCTTTAGCTTCCGCAAGCGCAAATGCATGGTCCTCGCACCAGGGAAGCCAGGTCACCTATGTAGCTCGAAAAATTGGCTGTGTGACCTTCAGGCCTTGTCGGTTTCAGTTTCAATAAGCAGGAATCCTGATTTACAGCCTGAGAGCGACCAAACATTCTACAACAAGCTACCCCAAGATGTATGTAATGAGCTTGCTGATCTCTACCTCAAGCTGGTCCACACCAAGCAGTATACTTCTTCCACCATCACACTATCATCCAAGAACAACGCCAGGGTCGAGTTCCAGCCTATTTACTTCTGGCTATAGTCGCATTATCGGCCCGGTGAGTTTACCACTTCGAACAGCTGGCGCGAAACCATCTAACAAGCAATAGGGCAGACTCTCCCCTCACCCTTTCTTTCAGCATGTACTACCGTGTAATCGTGTTCGGCCATTTCTACAGCAGGCTGTGTTAGCTTTCGAGATGCACAACAGACCAATCAATATACCATCTCTGCAGGGCTGTCTCCTGCCTGCTTTTGCGTTTTTTGTCGAAGGTGGTACCGACCAAGACACCCTTTTAAGTGCTTAAGTCGTCCGGATTAGGGGTTCGTTCTATGTGGTTCGGAATTAGATCAAAGCTTGTTCGTTCAGTGCGGAAACACCATGATTCTCAAACCCGCTGAGCAGACCCCTCTCAGTGCCTTGTTTCTTGCCAAGCTCATCAAACAGGCTGGTTTTCCCCCGGGCGTCGTGAACATCCACCATGGCTACGGCAGTGAGGTCGGCGCAGCTATAGCCTCACACAAGGGCATTGACAAGATTGCTTTCACCGGAGGCACAGGCACTGGAACGGGGGTAATGAAGCATGCCGCAGGGACCTTGAAGAATATTACTCTGGTGACAGGCGGGAAATCTCCTCTGATTATATTCGACGACGCGGATCTTGACCAAGCAGTAGCCTGGGCCCATCTTGGGATCATGAGTAATCAGGGTCAAGTGTGTACGGCTACCAGTCGTGTCTTTGTACTGGAGGCGATCGATACTCATTCCCTGGAGAAATATTGCCGGCATGTCCAGCAAAACACTATCATAGAAAGTCCGTTCTCTGAGGGTGTCACCCATGGGCCACAGGTCAGTAAGCTGCAGCAGGAGCGAATACTCAGCTACATTGAGGCGGGTAATAAGGAGGGCGCTACACTTCTCCTGGGTTACAGTCAGACCTTTCATACTCCAGAGAAAGGTTACTTCGTGCCCCCAACGGTTTTCACTAATTTCACAGACAGCATGACCATTTACCAAGAAGAAATCTTTGGTCCTGTCGTGGTGGTGTGCCGATTGGCAACAGAGGAGGCGGTTATTCGCCGAGCGAACGACACCATTTTTGGCTTAGCAGGAGCTGTGTTCACACAGGACATAAAGAGGGGTCCTCGAGTTGCTCGCAAGATCCAGGCTGGTTCGGTGTTTGTTAACAGCGCTATTGACAATGAACCGAGCGCCTTTTGGAGGTTACAAACAGAGCGGCGTTGGGCGGGAGCTGGGAGAGATGGGGCTGGATGCGTACTCATGTGTGAAGAGTATATTTACCAATTTAGGGATGAAGCTTCGATAGTAAATTCCACAATGGAGAGTGTTGGTCTTGGAAAAGGTACAAGGTCAAGCGTATCTACAATAACTGTGTGGAGAGACCCTTATTTATATTTCACCTTCTGCAGACTATATTCGATTTATCAAGAAAGGGATATAGTATCAGAAGCACGTTTTTCCCCTCAAGCCTTATAAACAGCATCACCACATCAGACCTTCAGGCTGGCCTGGCTAATAATAAATAAAGTCAGGTCAGGTGAAAAGAAATTTCTACACCTTCCGTCAGGTTAATGAGTTATCGTACGGGCCAGGGAAAACCGGGTCACGTGATGCATGAGAAAAAGTAAATACTATAGTTTTATATAAATAACTATTTCATCAGCGGGAGTGAGTGACGGCAACAATCCGGCGAACACCAGATAGTACAACCACTAGGGGCATTGTTGAAATAACCCACAGTCCAGTCTCTTCAGTCTTGATCACACATTGCGGTAAGCATTGAGCACCGCGCCCGTTGCAGGATTCGGGGTCGTAGGCGGAACATAACTGGGGGTCTCGTGAGGTTCTTCTGCCCCTGCGACGATGCCCAGGGTTTCCTGTGCCAGCCTTTTGTTCTTCTCGACCGTCGACATTAAACCCTTCCGGATACTTTCGGCAAGATCGTGATTGATTTTCTCGAATATATCTGTTCAGGAAGGTGTTAGCTGCGGAGAGATTGCAGCAAGAGTCCACTGACCTAGAGCCTTGTCTTGCTGAGTCTTAGTGGCTGTCGACAAGGAAGCCACAACGTTGTCGACGAAATGTTTCCGCATAGTTTCACTCAGACCCAAGTAGTGGTCATTGCATTGCTGGTAATCGACGGAATTGATCTCGCTTTTAAAGCGTTCCAGGCTACCAGACCATTGCAAAAAGCTGGTATTGTAGTTTTGGGGTGGGTGAGAATTATCACCAGGCACAATGTAGTTGCGCGCGTTGGCGTAGTTCGTCATGTTGTATGCTCCATCGCGCCTAGTGGGGCTGTAGACATATGAGCATGGCCTATTAGTCGGTAGCTGGTCATTGTTCACGCCTAGACGATATCTCTGTGTCTCCCCATACGCAAACAGCCGGATTTGAAGTACTAGGTTGCCAATCAGCGCTGATCGTATAAATGCGACAGGTTTTCACGTACGAGGATCAGGAGAGATATCCCATCCTGGTACGACATTTGCCGGGTTGAACGCGGCCTGTTCCACCTGCGTGAAGAAATTCTGGGGACACTCAGTCAAGGTGATCTTGCCAAACTCCTTCCATGGGAAAGTTTTCTCCGAGAGAATTTTAGTGGAGTCAAAGATATTCACAGTACTTTGGCTGGGGTCTTGAACTAGTTGTGCCATGACCTTCCAGGCTGGAAATTGGCAGCCTGGGTCGCCCTTCCTCGCCGCATCAATCTCACAATACAGGCGACGAGTCAGCCAGTCTGGGTCGGCACCAGCCTTGGCCACTGCCCCTGCCAGGTCGAAGTAGTCCTTAGCAGGATCTATCACTCGGTCTGGTACTAGCTTAATCCGAACTAGGGTATGCTTCCATTGTCCCTGGTCGTGACCACTCCCCTTCTTTTTCAATTTGCATCTTGTCAGTAACTGGACCACGCTTCTCAGGGAATAGCAATCTCACCACCCATTTGGTAAATGTATAACAATGGACACTGTGGGCCTGGAGAGCAGAGTACGACACTGGGGTACCTTCATCACTGAAGATCCTCATCAATGCATTATAACCCTCCGGATGGTTGTTGAAGTAGCTACCCAGCATCAGCAAAACAACCGATTGTGAACCGGGGAAATGTTTCTTACTCCCAAAACTATTGGTCTGTGTTTAGTCACTGAGGTATATAGAACATGCGAGGAAATTGCTTACCATGGTGGCATCGGGCAGGTTACTTGCAGGGCAACGCTTTGAGGCATGAACGAGAGAGGGGAACTTAGAGGGGTCCCTGATGGGGAAGATTTCCTTTGCTCAAATCAGCCGGAGCACAGTCTATTACATAGGTATATTATCAGACTTACAGGATTCAGAAAGGCCCAGTCAAGGTTTCCTTCCTCGGTGTAGAGCTTGAAGGCGAGACCTTTAAGGTCTCGGACCGTGTCTGGATAGCCTTTCTCCCCCGCAACGGTCGAGAATCGAGCAAAAAGCCGTGTTTTTTTGTTTGCTTCACTCAGGAACTTTGCGTCCGAGTAATCGCTTACCTTGAAGTCCTTGTTCGTGACTTCAAATGTACCGAAAGCGCCTACGCCCTTTGCATGGACGTATCTATTGTGATGAGAGGCTTTTTAGACAACCTCTTCTTCTGAGTAGCTGAACGAGAATAGGAAACTTACCTTTCCGGGATCCGCTCGTGCGTAATGTGGGCTATCGTGTCAAGAACATTCAGATCCTGGATCAGTTGGGAGGTCTTGATGTTCGGGGCGGTGTTGTCGCGGGTCCCTTCTGTCAGTAGCGGATCCTGCAACGGACAGCCTGGAGAGAGTCAGATATGATATATTGCGGTCAAAGAAATCTGGGCCGCAACGGACCATTTGCCATGGTGAAATAACCCCGTGACTGGGGTGCAGGAGGAATCCGCCCGGCGTCAGGAGCGAAGTCTGTGTCAAAGATTCATCAGCCCATCAGATTAGCACTTGGACTGATTCCTGCTTTACCCTGGGCCATAGTAGGGTTGGGTCTGGTTGGCAGTGTCTTGCGATGCATGGGAAATGGTGTTAGCATCAGGATGTCGTTTACTGTGTAGGTCCCTTACCTTGCGCTCCATTGTGACTCTGACGGTTCGATCAGTGCTGGGAAGGTAATCTGAAGAACAAGTATCGATACCTGGATGGGCACCCAAGGCCACTTTATAGATTAACAGATCAACATAAGGTGATGCCCGGGAGTTATTGCTAAAATTGATTGTTTACTGGTGTAGATAGCTATAGTGTTGAGATAATAGTGCAGGTGGTGCAGTGGGGCTGACCGCTGGCCGCATGCGGAGAGCGCATATCACAAAGTGGTGACAGTGACGTATTTGGCTTCCATTGCCCTACTTTCCCCAATCTCCCCCAATGTAACTCACCACTTTCGATTCCACCAACGTTCCCACAGATCCAATGAGCTACACCGCATTACAACGGTTCCCCACATGCATACTACCTTACTCATATATACTAAATCTAACCAAGCTCGGAAGGATCCCGCAGAAGCCGCAGCTTGGCTCTGCTGTCAGACTGTCAGAATGTGGGCCAGAAATCTGACGTTTGAGCAGTCCTTGGAAAGGCCCGTGGAACCAAATAGAAATCTTCCGACAGAACTAACCAGTCAGGCTGAGCTATTGAGCAACGAGATCGTTGATGTTATGCAGCCGCCCATGGTTTCTGCCGTGGGGGAATCGAGCAGTAATGATCAGCTCGACGGCCTTGTGCATCGTTCTCGGAAAAGATTCCATCCGAGACAGCCTCCTCGAGAATCAAGTCGATGATGTTATCTTATCGCCCACGGTGTCGGCCTTGGAAGACGAGGCCTTAAGAATCCTTTCGAAGGTCGGGTGGATAATTGCTGCAAGCATCCTCAATCCGGGCAGGTCCTTTCGTGTTAATATCATTGATGTAATGTCGTTGGCCATATTCTGGGCCTGCAGACAGAAGGTAACAATGACTATCTCGCAAGTCTTGTAGACCGTTTGCAGAAAGAGTCGCAGTCCAGCTAGGCACTTTGCCAATTGTACTACTGGTAGCATACAGTTGCCCTTGGTATGAGCCTTGAGCCATGAGGTAATAATGACCACTTCCAGCTTCTCGCAAAGAGCTGCTTTCGGACGGACACTCTGCTAAAAATGCCGTGGAAGAGCTGTGCTCGTGTCTAGGCGACACGGCTATATTATATCCAGTAGACCGCAACTGTTGGATTCCTCTGCACAGGAATTGATCAACTCTGTTCATCTTTCATGACCCGAACATCATCATGATGCACCACTACATACTTTGGTCTGTTCTGGCTGCCAGTGTATTCTCCGAGCCATTTCACCCCCATTCACCTCAGGTTCCCCTCGATGAGGACGATTCCAGCACCACCACCCTCCCCGAATGTGTGAAAGGGGTCATCAGCAATCCTCTGCATGTTGCTAATCGGACCTACGACTATGTGATTGCCGGCGGCGGTCTCACGGGTCTAACCATTGCGGCCAAGCTTCTCGAGCATTCGGATAAGATCACCGTCCTTGTGATCGAAAGCGGGTTCTACGGATCCGAGTACGGCCCCATCATCGATGATCTGAACACCTACGGTCAGATCTTTGGCAGCAGTGTCGACCACGCCTACGAGACCAACCCCCAGATCCACAATCGCGTGGAAATCATCCGGTCCGGCAATGGTCTAGGCGGGTCAACGCTGATCAACGGCGGGACGTGGACGCGTCCTCACAAAGACCAGGTCGATTCGTGGGAAAAGGTCTTCGGGAACGAAGGCTGGAACTGGAATGCGTTGAAAGAGAAAATGGATGAGATTGAGGATCCTCGAGATCCGACAGCAGCCGGTTCAGGTGTAACCCCCAAACATCTTCACCATTATGACAAGAATTGCCACAACCAGGGGGCACATCCGGGCAATGTCCAGGCGGGAGCGCGAGATCGAAACAGACCCTGGTCCCCCTTGATAGAAGCCCTGATGACCACCGCGTATGACCTCACGGGTGCGCCCAACAGATCCGACCTTTGCTGCGGTGTCCCACACGGTGTTTCCATGTTCCTCAATACTTTGTACAAGAATCAGACTCGAGCCGATGGGGCGCGAGCGTGGCTGGATCCTATTCTCGACGACCATGCGAAAAGGGACCGCATCACAGTCCTGACAGGTCAGCTTGTTGGCCGAGTCAATCTGAATACCACCGTGCCCAGGACGGGAGAGGCTGGTAAAGCAACGTATAGAGCAGCAGGGGTCGAGTTCGGTACCCACACTAAGCAGGGTTGGAATTTCAATGTAAGCGCATCGCACGAAGTCCTCCTCGCCGCGGGCTCCACCATCTCGCCTCTCATCCTGCAATATTCCGGCATCGGCCCGAAGAGTGTCCTCGAACAGGACCAAGTTCGAATCCACCAAAAGGTTGACCTTCCAGTGGGCCTCAACCTGCAGGATCAGACGACCACGTCCGTTGTCTCCACCACAACCAAAGAGGGCTATGGACAAGGCCAAGTCGCGTATTTCGCCACCTTCGACGAGGTCTTTGGAGATGATGCGGAGATATTCAAAAACATACTTCGTAGCAATAACACGTTGCGCAGCTGGGCCGTGGAAGCCGTCGCCGGGGGAGGATTTCACGACCCGGACGCGCTTTTCCTCCAGTACGTCAACTATCGGAATTGGCTCCTGGGCCCGAACAACGTCTCGTATGCGGAACTATTTCTGGACACCGACGACCGCATCCACTTTGACCTGTGGGATTTGATTCCCTTCACGCGCGGATACGTCAAGATCCTCGACAACGACCCCTACCTGCGAAGCTTCGAGTACAACCCTCGCTACTTCGAGAATCCGTTGGATCAGTATGGCCAGGCGGCAGCCTCCAAGCTCGCACGGGATTTGACTCGCTCCGGCACCATGGCAAAATACTACGACCGCGAGACAATCCCCGGGAAGCTACTGTGCAGCGACGCGGATCTGGAAGACTGGGTGAAATATGTGAAGCAGAACTTCCGGGCCAATTATCACGGCGTCGGAACGTGCAGCATGATGAAGAAAGAATTGGGCGGCGTCGTGAACAATGAGGCCAAGGTCTATGGAGTTGACGGTCTGCGGGTGGTGGATGGCTCTATCCCCCCTACCCAGGTCTCTTCCCACGTCATGACGGTTTTCTACGCTATGGCCGTGAAGATTGCGGAGAGTATAGCAAGCGATTATGATAAGTCAAAGTAAGAGCATCCACGAGCTCTTTTCCAGATTTATTAATCTCATGTCGCAGGCACAGCACTTCTAAGGAGCCACCGGCGTGGACAGAACTGAAATGAGTCTAGAAAAGAATCACGCGGTCCTTGGGGAAAAGACGTTAGGTTAGGCTTAGTATGGAGTCGACAGCATCCGTGGACTCGGTTTACTTTCTGCCTTTTCAAGCAGACAGGTTGTTTTGTGTGCATGTATCATGATTATCATGGAAGCCGATCCTGCTTCGGCTCGGAGGAGCTGACATGGGCTTTGCCTGCAAGCTATATTCTAAAAGCATAATTCATTCAGGCCAGTGCAGGGTAATAGTTAGGCCTGCTCAGCTAAGACTCATTTCTGCATCTTTACTCAATTGATACTCAAATTCGAGAGATTTTGAACTTATGTATACTATGAGATAATTTGCAAGTGTGTATGAGTGTTGGAAGGACCTGCAGAATCCTTTGAACATTTCACTTTCTCATTAGCACCACTAATATTAAGATGTATATGCTGCTTACTCATGGGACCTGTGCGAAGATGCCGCATAGCAGGATCCTGACCATCACAGCAAGAAAAGTGGATAGAATAGCGAGAGTTTCATTCGCACACTGAAAGGTCCACCCGCGCATATTTTGTGTTGCATCTTCTTGATCCAGCATGAAGAAGCGATGGAAGGAGGTGATACGACAAATGGATATGAATCATAGGCTGTTTGAGAAAAGACAAGCAATGGGTAGTAAATAAGTGTTTCTAGAGTCTGCTCGAAGTTCAGTACATGAGGTTGAAATTATGGTGCAGAAATAGGTTGATGCAGAACATGGGGTGGAACAATGTGGCAGAAAAATGTCGTAGAAAGCGTCTTCATGTTAACTAGTAAGCAAACGGGAAAAAATAAATTATCTACAGGACCGATAATCCAAATATCAAACTTTCTGCACGTCAGAAAGTCAAGCAAAAGAGAAATGAATCCAACGCCTAAGGAATATCACATTTTCGGATCCGGAGCCCACCCCTGCTCAACAAACAGCAACAGGTGCTACTTGATCCCAATTCTCCAAGATTTCCCTTACACGAGGGCTCTCAGAGATGGCCAGCACCTGTTCAAAGTAACTCTTACTCAACTCAAATGGCTGCGCCGTCAGGTTGGGAATGTACTTTCCGATCAGCTTCTCTGGACGAACCATGTGCTCGGGGATGGCTTTGCAGAGGCTGCGTCGGAAGGTGTCAACCCCAGGGCGGAGAAGGCTACTGTGGAATGGCACGTTGACCTTTAGGGGGATTGTGGCTTTCGCACGCTGAAGCTCCAACGGTGTCGGTTTGGCATCAGTCTGCGCGAGACATTCCTGCACAATGTCGGGAATGGCAGCCTTGAGCGTGTCCATGGACGCCAGTAGTTTGGGGTGGGCCACCAAGTGGTCGACGACGCCTGCCAGGCAGTCCAAGCTTCGAAGCTGTTTTTGGTGGTTAGTGACTAGGAAGCAGGGCGCAGGTTTAGGGGCACACAGGGCACATACATCACCGGCACACACGTATTGGGTCGACTTCACGTTGAAGTTGACAATCTCGCAGAGTCCTCCGGTTGCGGCTTCGACTGCCTTGACAATGTCACAGAGATCAGATTCTTTAAGGTCTGCGTAGAAGCTTTGTCAGTACAAAAGGGTTATTGTTGGACATCGGCAGCATGGTTCACATACTCTTGGAAACCCGACTGGGGTTGGCAGCCACCATAGAATAATCTCGACCAGAATGGTCCAGCTCGATCGACTTCTGCATCGTCAGCCCCCGATAGAAGACGGTGGCCGTAACTCCCTCCAGAGTGAAAATCTCCCCCATGGCTGCCAGTGCCGAATACTCGCCCAGCGAGTGCCCCGCATAGCAGCTGTCCTCATTGATCAGGCCGCGCTCCCGCATGTCATGAATGCGCGCCAGCTCCATGAGCACCAGCGAGGGCTGCGTGAAGATGGTCTCGTGCAGCAGCCCGCCGGTGGACGTGTAGGTGAAGGAGCGCGTGGTCGGGGTTATTTCGTTGAAAGCGCGCACCGACTCAATCTCACCTTGGTCGTTGACCACCTCGAAGTCTAGCGAGATGTAGTTCTCTCGAATAGCCTTGCCCCGGCTTCCTCCGAAGTGCACCGTGTACTCCTTAGGGTTGTTGCGCACGATCTCCAAGATGGAAACCCCGTAGGTATCCACGAAGAATGTCTCGGCCGTGTCCCAGACCCGGCGCGCGGCGGCACTCGTCTCATACAGATCCATCCCCATTCCAGGCTTCTGACTGCCCTGACCGGTGAAAAGGTACGCTCCTGGCTTCTGCGCCAGCTCTGCGGTGGCGCGAAACACCTCGAGACCGGACTCCGCGGACCGGGCGGTTGCGACAATCATCAGACGGCCATGGTTCATGCCCGTGTGGTTCATGTCCACCAGCAGCGTCTCGCCGGGCGTCACCTTGCCCTGGAACGAGGCTGACCAGGTCTTCATGCGTGTCGGGTCATTTTCCGCCGCGTGCAGCTCCACCAGTCCCCGAACGAGGCCGCTGGTCTGCATGCCGTGGATGACCCGGCCATCGTGGCCGGCATACTGCGCAAAGGCCCGCGACAGGTGGATGGGATTGCTGTCGCCCGAGGCGGAGGCGTAATGGTTGCTGGACTGTGGCATCGTCATCTCTATCTCCGCCGCCAGAGGGACGGAAGTTGGAAATTCTTTGACCTCAGTCGATGCATGTCCGCGACGGCTCAGGAAGTCCAGCACCGGGTTTTTGAAGTGCGAGTGGCTCTTAAACCTCACTGTTCCAATGGTCACCTCCCCAGTCCCGACAGTGCAGCTGACAGTTCCATAAGTCTCTATCTCGCTATAGGCGTGGGCATCGCGAAACTGGTACGAACTCCGCAGTCGAAAGGTGAGCTCCTCATGCAGGTGGTCATCGAGACTGGCTCCGGCAGCAATTTGGAACCAGGGCTTCGACGCCAGCAGAATCACTTCCCTCCGCGACTGCAACGGCAGCTTGTACACCTGCTCCTCCTTGTTCTTGTCGAACGTATTGTGGTAATCCTCGTATCGGCCCTGGAGGATGAATTCACTTCCCACGGTGATGATGGGCGTCCCCTGCCTGGAGATGGTGGCACGGACGCGAACAACCTTCCCCGACTCAGGTCGGATGCGAATGGACTCGATCTCCGCGGCAGACGACAGGACATCGCCCTCGCAGATGGGGCTCGCATCGTCGAGCACCTGAAAGTCGTTCTTCAAATGCAGGAGCTGCAGGATATCCCCACTGATGGCGTCGGTGAAGAGACAACGCATCAACGGCTTCCAGGCCACCACAATGGCCATGTCCAGAGGCGCCAGCAATTTAGACTTGGACTTCATCTTCCCGCTATACGCGCTATTCCGGTTGTCGATGGCCTTGGTGAAATCCAGAATCGCCTCGCGCGTCACTAGGACGGTATCATCGCTTCGCTGCTCATGCCGGCTGCCTGCCTTCGGCGCATCGCCGACCCAGAGCTGCTCGTAGAAGCGGCTGATGCGCTGATTTCGCGTATCCATGACTTCGTGGATGGGGTTTTGGCCATACGTAGGCTCGTACGTGAAGTAGAAGACGAGATCGACCGGGAGATCGCCACCGGTAACGGGGGCTCGCAGCGTGAGCATGAGGTCCGAGGCCGACAGCGCGCGAATCTCGACAGTGGCATCGTCCTTCTCCTGGCCTTTGTTGCTCTGCCGCATCAGGATGACTGTCTTCTCCGGACGGTCAGGGTGCATGATGCGCACACCGAGGCCTGCGCGCGGCGCGAAGAGGCCCTTGATGGGGTTCTTGGCCAGTCTCTTGCCCTGCACAATCTCGTTCAACGTCACCAAGGCCTTGCGCCACGAGGGTTTCGTCCCGCCAATCAGTTCGAGCCACTGCTCCTCGGTCGGAAGGGTCTCGGCGAGGGCATCGAGATCATAGGCCAGTGTCGGCGGGTCGTAGGAACGGCTGTGCTTGACATAGTTGACATTGGCCACCTCCACCGGAGGGCCCGTCGACGGCAATACCCCGGCCGAGTACAGGTAATCCAGACTAGGGACCCGGGCTTCTTTGCCCGCGTAGAGTCGCTGCAGGATTGCGTGCACATGTGGCTTGTGAATGTTGTCGAGGATCTGCTTGACCGGCTCATCGGCCACAGTGGTGTACTGCGCCGCCACCGGACCGTGTAGCACGCAGATGCGCCCGATGTCCTGGTCTATCACCGCCTCAAGTCTCTCCGACTGCCACAACGAGTCCTTCTTGAACCAGTACTCGAAGGACTCATCCAGCGCAATGATGAATGGCAGTGGCTTCCGGCCCGGCTGCTTGTACAGCATGGCCAGCTGGTTCTCGTCGTCGCGGACGATCACATCGTGCAGCGCCTGCGGATAGGCTGCCAGTAAGTCGGCCAGGAATGCCTCTGGACGGTCCAGCTGTGCATCATGTTGAAGCACGGCGCGAGGGCGCGGTTGGCGGGAGCTCATGCGGCTCTCGACGCAGCGCACGAAGTCGGCCACAAACGACCGATACGAGGGGTCGATCCATGCCTGCTGGCTCTTCAGATACAGGAGGTCGACCGCCCGGCGGAGCACCTCGGCGTAGGTCATCTCGGAGATATCGCAGGGATGACTCTGGGCGTCCACGCCGAACCACACCTTGGCGTAGTCGGCGTTCAACCGCCGGATGATGCTGGCCTTTCGCTTCTGCAGCTCCTGAACTCGTTGCGGCGGAGGCAGTGAGAACACCTGCTTGTCCAGCTCAGCCCACAGCAACACCCCGCGTGTCGCCAGCTTGTGGATCGGCTCCCCCATCTCCGACGTGACCGTGATAACACCGCCCGTTGCCTTCTGGTAGGTCTTCTCCCACTGCGCGTCCGGCACACCGGGCGTATTCACAATCGCCTGCTTCACCGCCGGGCTGGTGCGCGCCTCCCTCGCCGTCATGACACGGCTGCCCACCAGAATTCCGTCAAAGGGCATGGCAGCATAGCCGAGTGCCTTGGACCACGACCCCGTCAGGTAGGGGTAGGTATCATCGCTGCTGCCGAAGCCACTGCCCGCCACCAAGATAATGTTGGAGTATGCGCGGATCTGTGCGTAGCGCTCGAGGATCGGTTCGTGGAAGTCTTCGTACGAGTGATGCCCCCCGCCCCGGCCGCCCGTCCACTGCAGGAGGATGGGAAACTTGGGATTCGCCTCGGCAATGCGGAGCACACTGTCAATCGCATCTTTCGAACCCGGCTTGAAGGCGATGTGCGAGAGTCCGAGGTCACGGATATACTCGCTGGCGATGTCGATGGAGGGCACGCCCGCGCCGATGGTCAGGCCCGTAATCGGCACGCCCTCCCTGCGTAGCTGGCTGAGTAGCGGAATCTGCCAGCCCATCGCCCGGGGATTCGCGTAGATGAGGTTGCAGGTGATGCCACGGCCGGCCGGGATGGACTGCACTAGCTGTTGTAGGGCAGCGCGCATCCCGTCGGCATTGTGGTAGCCGCCACCCGCGAACTCGATGTGGTAGTTTGCGTTCATCACCTCGGCGACGAAGTCCGGGGAGACGGTGGTCGGCGTCATTCCTGCCACCATGACCGGGGGCAGGCCCAGAACCCGCGAGAACCGGGTGTCGAGGATCGTCTCGTCACCGACCCGGACCAAGCGGGGGGCATAGTCCTGTTCCCAACTGGTATTGTAGACAACTGAACGCTTGCGGCTCACCAGTTCCGGCATGTAGCCCAAGGCCTTGCTGGGTCCGCTCAGGGTGGTCGAGAGGATGATGCGCGTCGCGGTGCCGGCCTTGGCCGACGACAGGAACGCGCCGATGCCTGTCTCGCGTCCGGGACCGAAGTCCAGGAAGTGCGTGGCTGAAGGGAACCGCGTGGCCTTCTCCCAGTCGACGATGCCACAGACCACCATATGCACGAGCTCGGGGATCAAGTTGTCATATTCCCGCAGGTCAGCCCCATTGTCGGTGCGAAGAACTGGAAATACCAGGCTGGTCCCGGGGACATTCACCCCGCGGAGGTCCTCGATAATCTGTGAAGAGGCATCCTCTAGGAGACTGGTGTGGAAAGGCACAGAGATTGGAAGGAACCGCGCAGTGATCAGAGGGGTTCTCTGCCTGAAGGGCACGCGAGCATTGTTGGCTGGAGCGCCTCCGGAGTTGTTCGAAGCCGTGCGGACCTTGTTAGCGAAGGCGTAGAGGGAGAGAGGATCGCCGGCGACGACGAATTGCTGGCGACCATTCAGCAGAGCCAGAGCGGCTTGCTGTGAGGCAGGCAGATACTTGTTGTGCTCGGCCAGATGCTGCAGCAACTGCTCGCGGGAGGCGCCCTTGATACTCAGCATAGGGCTCAGCCGTTCGGACTGGTCGACCAGGGCAGGAGGAATAGAGCTCGGGGGATAGCACTGTTGGGAACGACATCCAATCCAGAATAGCACCTGGAGGGCGGTGCGTGCGGCGTCGAAGAAGGTCGGCCACGACACAACGGTGGCCAAGAGAGCAGCCACCACGATGCCTTGAGAGTGTCCTGCGGCGCCGCTGAGGTGACGTGCAAACTCCCCCGGGGTCTTGTTGAGAATTTTGCAGGTAATGTAGTAGTTGAGTAGCTGGACCAGTCCGATCAAAGGCTGACTGACGGGGGCAGAGAGGAGATAGTCGACTGACGGACGTGACTCCGGCTTCGCCAACCAGCCCATGACATCAAGACCATGAGGGTACATGTCTTGAGCGCGGGTGTCGGCCGCAAGCCCCTTCAATTGTTTGCTCAGGTTATACAAGGGTTCAGCCAGCTGGCCGGGATAGGTATCGAAGAGATGCTGCAGTTCCTCGAAGTAGCCCTCCACACCCTGACCGTTGAAGACCGTCACAATGTTCGCGCGACGACAGAGAGCATCAGACAACAAGCCACTCGTCCACTTTGGGGAGACAAACTGCGTCACACTGATAGCTTGGTAGTAGGTCTGGATGATCTGGAACTTCTCCTCCGGCTCGAGAGGCAGCGAAGCGACAACACTGTGGATGTCTTCATCCTGGAACAGATGCTTGTTGAATACCCGCAGGGACTTCTTGAGAATATCCTGCGGGCCATCCTCATGCACCTGGTCGACACTGTCGAGGACCTCGCGCACAAAAGCGGAAAGGCTTTGGACTTTTTCGGAGAGGGACAACTCGTCGACGGCCCGAGTGGTCAGGCCATCCAGAGTAGTTGCAAACCGATCATTGAGAATAGACGATTTCTTGAGGGATGCTTGGGAGCGGAGGAAGGCAATCTCAATGTCTTCACGGGGTAAGGACATGGGGGAAGGGGATCCCAAGGGGTACTCTGTCATGGGGGTATCTACCTCCATCACCGGGGAGAAGAGATCATCCGACGAAGCAGACGAGCTCCTTCCCCCGGCCATGACGGGATTGGACTTCATTTTGCGCGGAACGGCAAGATCTATCGAGGGCCGGGAGTGGTGCGGCATTTTTTGAGAAAGAAACAAGGCAAAGGAAATGAGATAGCCAAGGAGAGTGCAAAGGAGGTTTGACTGAATGTGAAGAAAAGACAGTGGAGTCATATACAGTATACACAACGAGTGGGGAGCAATCGACAAAGAGAAATCTCAAGGGTATACAGACAGAAAACAGGACGAGAGCTTCTTGCAGTGATGGTCCAGTCGTCTGAGTGCAGATGCCAGCCCAGCGCAGCTCAAACTCTTACGCCCACGACGAGTCTCTCCCCAAGAGAAAAGACTGCACGTCGCTGGGATGATATACAGGCGAGGGATTGGACTTGCAGAAGGCCCACGTGGAAGAAAACACGACAAATGAACCACTTGCCATCCTTCGCACAGGGTTTGCCGGCCCCCAAAAAATTCATCATCGCCTCCGTCGTTAAGTCAGGCCAGCCGTGAACGCCTTGCTACATGGTGGATACGTCGAGTATTCTGGGCACACTCTCAACGACCCCTGCAGTCATGTCACCCTCGTGGCACTTCCTGCATACTGTGACCCACCAACCAGGAATACACTTGCTTCCGCTGGCCCTCCAGCTCGCCATCATTTGCTCTTTTCCTCGTTTCGCCGCCAAATCTAGATCTATCCTGGCGTCCTGGCAGTCACCGTCGCAGCCGAGCTGAGACAAATGTCCTTTTTCGTTACTTCCGCTCATCTGCGCCATGATCCTCCAGGAAGCACTGGCGAAGAAGCTCGGAGTTTAGTTCGGTCGAGACGGTATTGGAATAGAGACGGGGAATGCGGTGGACGTTAGCCCTAAGGTACGATACTCACCGATCTTACATTCTTACTTCAGGTGGGCATTTCTTGTTTTTTTCCTAGAGTAATTGCATCTTGCGGGCATTACAGACCATACGAGACGGACATTACATACATTACGCAAAAACAGAGAATCCTGCAGCGGCGCTAGATCCTTGCGTCAGGCTGAGAATCAGGGCTCCGCCACCGTGCAGCACACGCCAACTTAGCGGAGATCCTTCTCCTCTGAGGCTCACTGGCCATCAGAAAAAGCAGTGCAGCTTACGCGAGCGGAAATTTCCGCCTCATTCGACCTTCGACGTTCTCACCTTGACGGATTGACTTGAAGGGATTTCTTCCTTGATCTTTTTCGTCCTGTGTGGTATGTGTTGACCAAGTCTGCAACTTCGTACCATCGACTCTCCTCCGCAACCATGTTCCAGCTCCCAGCGTCGCGAGGCGATGTCGAGAACCTCCTCGGCGCAGTTTGGGACTCCCTGACCTTCAACCGGGTCTTGGTCGGCGCGGGGATGCTGTTTCTTTTCTCGAATGTGAAGGGGTTACCGGGCGTCTGGCATGTAAGTCTTGCACTCTACCGACCTTTCGACTTCGACTCCAGATACTAATATCCTTCAGTACCGTCTCTTCAAAGGCCTAGTCACCGAACTGGTCTGGAAGCGCTCGCGCCAACCCGCGCCTTTGATCGACTCGCAGGGCCGACCGCGCCTGTACAGCTACTTGGTCACCGAGTGCGCTAACCCGATCATCGAGTGCGATTACAACCTCCACAAGTCCAACAGCACCTTCTTTTCGGATTTGGATATCAACCGCACCCAGCTGATGATGGCGCACTTTAAGCACGTCCTCTCCGCCTCATGCATGCCGCGCACTGGCGGCGGCCGAAAGAAGCCGCTCTTGATGGCCATGGGCGGCGTCTCATGCCTGTTTCACCGCGAGGTCAAGCCGCTGCAGCGCTATGAGATCTGGTCGCGTGTACTAGCGTGGGACGAGAAATGGGTGTACGTGGTTAGTTACTTTGTGAAGAAGGGGGCATTAACACAGGACGGGAAGATCAAGGGAGATCCTGATGCGAAGTTTGTGTTGGCGTCCGGGCTGGCGAGATATGTGTTTAAGGAGGGAAGGGTCACGGTGAAGCCGGAAGAGGCACTGCGAGAGTGTGGCTTATTACCGCTCGTAGGAGAAGACGGTGCGGCGGTGGTCGATCAGAAGGGAGCCGTTGGTTGGGGCAAGGAGCAATTTGAGATCGAAAATCAGAAGGGACTGGCAATTGCGCGCGGATTCTCTGGTTTGGAGGTTTTGCCTTCCATGACTAGGTTCGGAGAATCGGGCGTGCTGGGGAGATATGGGGATTTCTGATCTGAAGAGCCTGTGGGCAGATGGTAGAGAGACTCACGTTGTTTTATAAGCTGGCCGGCCTGCAGTTGATCGAAGGATGTCGGTAGGCAGCAACAATGTCTCGATGACGATGTACTAGGGTGCTATTCTTCTTTTAGCTGTCAATAGAAACGAAGCTTGGGACTTTGGTCTGAACAATTTAACGAGTGGCCTTGCGATATCAGGGTGAAGATTTAATGGTCGCATCCTACTTCAAACGCCGTATATATTTCCTCCCTGTCTCTCGTCTTCCCATCTCAAATCATCAGATGTTTCCAAGAGGTAAACCTTCGGGGCTAGTTAATGAGATGGTACGGTTGAGTTCGAACATATAACTGCATATATAAACAAAACGAAAGACCCCGACTTGACCAGAGACTCCAAGACTGTAGGAGCCTAGCTATCACACCGAACATACAACAAACAAATACTATAATCAAAAAGCCTCGCCTCATCATCGCATATTTGGGCCAACCACACATATGCGCACCGAACGATTAGAAACCACAAAAAAGAAAAAGAAAAAAAGATCACGCTACAATAGAATCGCAAACCTCAACTCTCAACTAAGCCTATCAAAGTCCCCCGTATGGATCGTCTCCAGCGCAGAGATCTCCACCGACTCAACGTCCCACAGCCCCTATACCTGCATTAGCCACCAACCTCGTTGGACCACGCACTTGCAGAGCATCACCTACCTTGACAGCATTTTCATGTGCCTGGATTGCCTTCAACACACTCTCCTCACTCGGTGCCTGGCACGCAAAGCAGGCTCCCAGGGTCCCCGCAGGGGCCGACTCCAAGACCGGCGTGGGAGAAGACAACATATCTCCCGCGAACGTGAGGACAATATCCTGGTTCTTGAATTTGATGGGTTGAGAACACGGGGACGGGTCCGCCAGTCCAGTATTCTTCTTGTTGAAGACGACCACGAAGCTGAAACATGGCATCTATCAGGATCACAGATCGACGACGCAGACGCACCAAGAAAGGTGGGTCGGGGTAGGGGAAGTCATACTATTCTTGTAGCGGCGATCCTGCTGTCGTTGCAAGGAATCGACTCGGCTGCCTGAGGCCGATGATCGAACCGCAGATCCGGCGGTGACCGCGGGAGAACAGGGAAGATGTCAGATTGAGCATGATTAATGGTGTGCGTGGTGTGGTCACAGTGTTCTAATGGTCGGAGAAGTGGATCGCGCAGAGGAATGGGGGAATATATAGATTACAAAGCCGCAACCTTGGTGAGCCTCGAGACCTCCCTCCCACCAGCAAGTCCACCACTGTTGGCAGGATTTCGGGACTTCGCTGTGAATTGCTATCCAACGAGCCTTCTCTCCTGTATTCCAATTGATTCCAAGCCACCGTGGTACGATTTTACTTTGGCGAGGAGAAGATTGCGCAGTGTATTGACTACCGGCTATAGTCAACTCCTGCAGGATTGGCGTCTTCGTGGGCTTGGCAGAACTTGGCCGTCGTGCGGCTGTATATTCCTGATTGCCTCTATTCCGCCATGGTAGTGCTGACACTGCAGAAGTCGACGCACAGTCGTATCGACTTACAAAGAATATTCCACCGATGCTAGTGCTTACATTGCAGGATTTCAAGCAGTCGCTGCATTCCAGGTGCAGTAGCGGTAATTGAGGGGCGTGTTTCATGACGGGTAAGATAACAGACGGTATCATACCAGATACAGTACCGTATTGTATTATCATACAGTACTGTATGTCAATCATACCACCATCACAGCCCTAACAGCCCCACAGGGCCGAGACCAAGCTGAGGGAAATACGACTGATCCTTCAATCTTCCTTTGATGCTACCCTAACTGATAGTTCCACCAACCATTTCTGCACCAAGGCTGACAGGAAGCTTGGTGGACCCTTGCGGCTCAATCCACACGGAGCACTAAGGCTTAGTCGCTGCAAGCTGAAGATTAGATGCTGCCGTGTGACCTAACCGGACAATACGGTATCTGAAGCCGTATATGCAGGTGCTGCATGATTTCTTTCTCCTTAGTACGGTGCTTAGTGGTCTAAAGCCATAGCCATGTGGGATCTGCGTCTTCCTCGTGTTCGGTGGGTCATATCCTATGCACTTATCAAAAGAAAAAATATAGCAACGTGCAGAAGACTATGGCAGAGCCTGAATGGAGGGAGAAAAAAGGCCCCCAAGAACTAGTTCCAGAATCGAGACATCGGCATCATGAGACGCAAGGAAGTGGTGGAAGTGAGCAGAATAGCATGGTTTGACTCGGGCTTTCCACAAGGCTGTGAGAGCTAGTCCAATGGTGACAGGAGATAGTTGGTCGGTGTGGAAGACTTGGCTATTAAAGTGATGTTTGTAAGTTGTGTTGTAGATCACGAACAAACCACCTACTCTTCACCCAACCCCCCCTTCCACACTCCCCCACCTTCACAAACCAGCCTTTTGGTCAACTGTGCTGTCCAAGATGTCAAACTTTCCCGCTGAGCCCGTGACGAATATTGGTATGCTGTCTTTGGACTCCTGTTCACAATGCAATGGCTAATGTAGCGGGACAGAATGGGAGAAAGTCGGCGTCTCCTTCTTGGACGGTACACCATCAGCCACATACTCCTCTGTCAGAAGCTATACTAATCACCTTAGGTAGTCAACGGCCACGTGGAAAGCGACTTCAACTTCCAAACTGGAACATGGTCGGATCCTGTATTCGTGGAAGACCACTATCTCCGAGTCCATGGCCTCGCGCCAGGGCTGAACTATGGACAGCAGGTGTTTGAGGGCATGAAAGGTATACTCTCCACCAGATTCACTCACCCCCATTGTTTGTCCAACTGCAAGCTCACTCACTGACCCGACACAACGTTCCAGCCTACCGCAACAAACGTGGCCAGATCCAAGTCTTCCGTCCCACCGACCACGGCCTCCGCATGCAGCGCTCCTGCGAAGCTGTCTCAATTCCCGCCATCCCCGAGTCCCTGTTTTGGAACGCGGTGAATCTCGCCGTCGCCCGCAACAGCGAGTTCGTGCCCCCGCACGAGACCGAAGCGGCCCTGTACATCCGGCCCCTGGCGTTTGGGTCCGGCGGCTGGATGCCGGTGGCGGCCGGTATGCAGTACAAGTTCTGTGTCTATGCACTGCCATTCTGCGCCTACCACGGCACGCTACCGGTGGATGCGGTGGTGCTTGAGGAGTTGGACCGCGCTGCCCCCGTAGGCGTTGGGAACGTCAAGGTCGGCGGCAACTACGCGCCGGTGCTCAAATGGAGTGATAAGGCCCGGAAGGAGGGGTTCGGGATCACCCTGCACCTGGATAGTCGGACGAGAAGTGAAATCGATGAGTTTAGTACCTCGGGGTTTGTCGGAATTAAGTACAGTGACGGTGGGGTAGAGGGAGGATATACCTTGGTTGTGCCGAACAGTCGGTGTGTGATTAAGAGCGTGACGAGTACGAGTGTGATCGACTTGGCCAGGTCTCTCGGCTGGAGGGTGGAGGTTCGGCCTGTGAGTGTTCTCTCTCAAGTTTGTGTCGGCCCTCGTGCCATTACTAACTGATTTCGTTAGATCCCCTACGACGAGCTCGCCTACTTCGACGAGGTTATTGCTGTCGGCACGGCGGCCATGATCACCTCCATCCGATCGATTACGCACCGGTCGAAGGACCAGGTGTTCAATTATAAGACTAGCGACAAGCCGGGCAGTGTCTGTGAGAAGTTGTCGACGAAGCTGAAGGCGATTCAGAAGGGCGATGTGGCGGATTCGTTTGGCTGGTTGAGGCAGGTGGTGGATCCAGAAGCCCGAGAACAGACTCAGCCAGTTGTGGAGGTCACTGCCAACTAGAATAGTTTATGGGTATCGGTGTCTTTCCAAAATCTACCATTTCACTCCATGCATGGTTGATCACTTCCGATCTATGCACATGACATGCTCTGGTAATAGTTGCGGTGGCTAGGGGAAAAGGGGCCAATCTAGACTTGTCGGCCCTCCAAGCCACTAGTAATGCTCTAAGAAGAATTAAGACTCAGGGTCCAGATTCGGCGAATCAAGAGTCGAAGAGTTGAATAGCACGTAGCGTGGCACTCAGAGTAGTCAAATTTGTGGTAACGATCAATCAAGTATGTGCAGCAGCTGTCTGATGACGTGGATATTCAACAAGGAAAACAAAGCAGAGAACAGAAAAAGACCCCAAACCAAGATATTGATCACCCAAACACCCCTTGCGCTATGAATTGCGGCCGCCCGGATATCTGTATATTGTATCTTTCGCAGAAACAAAGTGAATAGACCATTTCTAACAACGGCAATGAAAAGGAAAACGGTAGAAAAGGGCATTCAGCCCAAGAATCAGATTCATAACACATCAAATTGCTTATCCCATCGCACAATCACCGTCTAACCTCATTCCCCTGCTGATCATACCACGTTCTCTGTGGCCGGTCCCCCGCTGTAGTACCCGCATTATAGCCCGCCTCGTAGCCGGCATCATAGCCCCGGGGGGTGTTGCCGCGTTCCTGGGCGTCGAGCAGATCAAAGGCGACGCTGCCGTGCTTGCGGTGGCGTTTGCGGTCCTTCCGAGCCTCCTTCTCGGCCAACTTGGCCTGCTTCTTCTCACGCTTGGCTTGTTTCTTCTCCCGGCGGCTGACACGCGGGAACTCGCTGTCGGGGCCTTGCAGGATCTGACCGGGGTGGATCACATTGAGGATAACCAAGGCGAAGAACATGGGCAGGGCATCCCAGACGTACTCGTACCATTCGTGGGTGAGCACCGGATTGTTCGGGTCCGTGCCCCGGGAGTACTGCGCCAGGCGGAAGACGATACGCACGGTGATCAGGAATAAGGCCGCATAAATGGCGTAGAAGAGCCAGCGCCACCCGAAGCCGCTGCCGCGCGCGACCTTTTCATTGTCCAGCTGCCCGTTGCGCTCCATCTCGGTCATCTTGCGCTGCAGGTAAATGAAAAACGCGGTGAAGACAAGGATGAAGAACTCCTGCAGTCCGATACCGCCCATGTAAATGTGCACGCCCATCATGGTGGTGGAGGTGGAGGCGTCGGTCGAGGTGGTGAAGCCGGCACCCACCAACTGCACGATGAAGGAGATGATGTCCAGCCACACGAAGATCTGGCCGAAGCGTTTCGCGGAGACCCCGCCGAGCCGGCCGTCCGGAATGAAGAAGTAGATCAGTCGGCCGAGAGTCATGTAGAGGAAGGCGTTGATCCAGATGGGCGCCAGGAGGAAAAAGATGGTATGCGGCGTGTTGTACGCGTCTTTGTTTTGGTGCTTGGCGAAGAGCGCGGCCATGATGGACGATAGCAATTCCCAGAGAGCGCCCATGATGACGACCCAGGCGTAGCGCTGTGGGGTGGCATTATTAACTTGGTGTCTTTGGATGCGTGGGAATCGCGGGGATTGAGAGACATACCTTCTTGAACATAAATGCCTGGAAAATATGCACGGCAGTGGTAAGACCGAACAAGACACAGAACAAGACGGCAGCCCCGAAGTTCGCCTCGTACATGAGGATATTCCCGCAAGCGCCCGGTGGCACATAGCCATTCTTGTTCGGAGTGACAGGCACGCATGTTGCCGTGCTCGTGGCCGAGGCGGATGTCGCCGACGCAGCAGTAGTGGTGGCACTCATGGTGGTGAGCGAGGAGGTGATTTACATTCGTTTGAGGAAAGAAAGACAGAGACGTTGAGGAAGAGGATGACAGAAGCTATATATTCGGGACAGAAAAAAAGTCAGGCAGAAACATAACCGACAGACCATTGCCGCCGAAAGCTTCAACCCCATGCCATGCATGGTGAGACTGGGAGATCGCCGAGACTAGCCCCTGACCGGCCTTCAACCCACCGGGCCCAGTCAGGCAGCACCATTCCAGGGAGGTGGGTGAGAGAGGCTCCTGGATTATTGAATCCTGCAGACAAAGAACCAGAGAGAAAGGAATGCATAGTGAGCCGGTTAGTTTCATAGGTAGTTTCATGATAGTTTATCGGGGAAGAGTTGTGTGTGTGTGCGAGTCAGATTTTAGCATTGCGTATTGAAATGACTTTACCCTTAGAGATGGAAACCCAAGGAATCGGACGATCCCCAAGGTGTGAGTGGTGGACTCGGATACGCTAGGCTTCCTCTGGATAAGTGTCAAATAGGCTCAGCCATCGAGCGGGCGGCAAGGACCCGCCGACTAGCCCCTTTTGAGCTAGTGGTTCCGACACAACCAATCACACGGTGTCTGTCTCGCCCGTGTAGGCTGAACCCTTCAAGGTTGATCATGCTTGGACCTCGTATTTACGCTTGATCAGTTAGTGTTAGGCAGGCAAATGTCAAGTAAAAATAGCATCGTGACAGGTTGAGCGGCTGCATTAACATTAACAACTAAATTAGTTACATCCTTCATCCTGCATCCTGCATCCTCATTCCCATCCCCATTCCCATCCTCATCCTTCATCCTTCAAATTGCGTGGTTGAGTGCTTACCAGTCAGTGCCCTCACGATGGGCCAAGTAGTGGAGGTTATTGACGGGTCCGTAAGTGCCTATGGTAGACTACATATACATCCCCCCTACTTAAGATGAATGATCGGCAAGAGTCCGAAGATTGGTATACGAGTCCTCCCAACCGACCAACCCGTTGAGATCCCCACTGCCAACCTTGAACCGTGAGAGATGGCTCATCGGTTCCTCCCCCGCTTGCCTCGCACGATCCACACCCCGATCCGCACGGCCTCACCCAGGCCTCATCACTGTCGCCACTACTCGTCGCCGCAATCTGCCCGGTCGCAAGCTGCCTTGTCCTCTCTCCGCATCCAGAAGACGCAATCGCCGAGCCCCCCGCCCGATGCCGGACAGTTACAGTTTGGAAGGGCTTTTACAGGTGCGTGACGATCACGTGACTGTCCCCGATCTTCCCCGTCATCCATGGATGCCCTCTAATCAGCTGCAACCAGCTGCACATTAGACCACATCTTCACCTTCGAATGGACCACAGAACATGGCTGGACGAATCCCCAGATCACTCCCTACGGCAAAATGCCCCTCGACCCTGCCGCCTGCGTCCTGCACTACGCCTTCACCTGCTTCGAGGGCATGAAAGCCTACAAGGACCCACAGGGCAATGCACGCCTGTTCCGCCCCCAAAAGAACCTGCAGAGGCTCAACCGGTCGGCAGCGAGACTGGCGCTGCCCACCTTTGATGAGGAGAGCATGTTAGATCTGCTGGCCCGGTATGTGGAGCTGGAGAAGGGGTTTATTCCCCCTCTGCCGGGATATTCCCTCTACCTGCGACCGACGTTGATGGGCACGGAGGCCAGCATCAGCGTCTCGCGGCCGCGGTCAGCGCTGCTCTATGTGATTGCCAGCCCCATGGGGAATTACTTTGCGGGCGGCATGAAGGCTGTCTCGTTGCAGGCGACGCGGTCGCCGGTGCGCGCGTGGCCGGGTGGGGTGGGCGAGTTCAAGGTTGGGGGGAACTATGCGCCCAGCATTGTGCCGCAGGAGGATGCGGCAGCGGCGGGCTTCCAACAGAATCTCTGGTTGTTGGCCGATAGCGAAGGGGACGAGTATGTGACGGAGGCTGGGACAATGAATCTGTTCGTGGTCTGGGTGAATCCGGACACCGGCCGGACAGAGCTGGTGACGCCCCCGTTGGATGGCACAATCCTGCCCGGGGTGACCAGAACATCCATTCTGGAGCTTGCGAGGGAGAGACTGAGCAAAGAGGGGATGGACATAAGTGAGAGGAGCATCACCATGAAGGAACTGGCCAATGCTTCGAGGGAAGGACGGCTGTCAGAGGTGTTTGGCGCGGGCACCGCGGTGGTCGTCTCGCCCGTCAGATCCATTCAGTGGAACGACCAGACAATCGATTGTGGCCTGAAGAAGGACGAAGAGGCCGGTCCGGTGAGTCTGAAAGTCAAGAAGTGGATTGAGGAGATCCAGTATGGTTTGGTAGATCATCCTTGGAGGTAAGTTGTTTCCGCGAGTTTGGGAGAACAGACTGATCTAACGCATCTCTAGTTATCGGGTATAATGGCTTTTTAATCCTTGTACTAGCTAGCATCAACTTTTATTTTTAATCCAGGCTTTCCTAGCCTAGCAAATAAGCTACGAGTGAACATCCCTTTAGACCACCAAGTTCAGTATATATCTCATATGTGCCATGGAGCAGTGAAGACATGAGCGGGAATGAAAGAACAACAACATTAAGACAAAACCCAGAACCTGAACGCCATCCCTCCCAGTAATAATATCTTATAATCTCTCGTCAACCGTCTAAAAGCGCACCGTGGGATCCAACAGGGTCTCCAATTCCTTCTGCGGCGCCCACGGCGTAGCAGTCTTCAACTCGAAAAGACTGTTGGCGGCCAACCCGCGATAGAAGAATGCATCCGCCTTCTTCTGCCGTTGAGCTCGCTTGTCCACGTATGCCTGATACTCCTGCTCTGTTACGGTGGCAAACAGATACTTAGGATGCACGACAATCGTCTGAGCGCCTTTCTGCCCGAACCCGAAGGACGTCACACTGATGGCGCGCAGGCCGGCAGGACCGGTCGTCTCCAAGGACCGATTCAGGAAAGCAATCTGCTCGTTCTTCTGCAGCTCCACGTCCACGTTATCCAAGTTGCGGTTGCCTGGCACGATTCCGGTATTGAGGATCTGGAGCGCGCCATTTAACATCCACGCGCCCGCCGCACCTTTCGGGTGACCGGTCAAATATTTCTGGAACACGCCGAGAATGACGTTGCCCTTGGAGCGGCCGAGGTGCGAGAGCTGGGTTTGGATGACGCTGCACTCATTCTTCTCGTTAAGCTTCGTCGAAGTCCCGTGGAAGGAAGCGACGTCCAGGTCGTCGACCCCCAGACCCCAGACAGCCAGGGCGCCGCGCAGGGGTGCGATGGTCGGATCATTGGCCCAGAAGGCGTTCCCGAGGTGGTATTGCGCGTTCTTGAAGTCTTTGCGAGCTTCGGCCTCGATCTGGCTGGTGCGCTCACGGACATACGACTCCACGTCCTCGGAAGAGTCAAGGCTGGCGACCTCGAGTTGGAGGTCCTCGAGGGCAGCCTCTCGCGCGAAGTCAATCTGTTTCTTCCGGAAGTCGAGACGCTTGCGCCGGTTGGAGAGCTTAAGTAACGGCGAGGCGATGCGAGAGGAGGTTTGCGACTCACGCGCCTTGGAGAGGATCCCCTTTCCGGGCGCAGGCACCGACCGGCTGGCCTTATCGCTCGAAGTCTCGACGAAGGCGACCACGCCGCGGACGGGCAGGCCCATCTGCAAGGCGAGTTTGGCGGTGGTGAGGATCTGGACACCGCAGCCGTGCGACTCCATGAAGCCGTTGCGCGTGCTGGCGGCGGGCCGGGACATCTCAGACGCATCACGACCTTGCTCGAACTCATCAACCGCGTTGGAGGTCGCTTTCATATTGGCAAACTCATATGACAACTCTTCGCCGAAATCGTCCCCACCGCCGACGAAGCAGAACTGCGCTTTACCGCTGACGAGCGTGTCGTAGCCGAGCTCGACCGACTCAATCGCGGTCGCACAGGCGCCGACCGGAGTGCGCATCGGACCAGCGGACGACATCAGCAGCATATTCACCCAGGCGCCGATCGTATTGACGAACGACTCCTGGAGGATATCTTTCTGCACGTCCCTCTCCTGGTACCGGGCGCGATACATCTGCTGGAGCGAGTTGAACCCACCGATACCGGAGCCGATACAGTTGCCTGCCTCAGAGATATGGATGTAGCGGTAGATCTCATAAGGGTCAGTGATTCCGGACGAGAGCAGCGACTCAATCGAGCACACCAAGGTGTACAGGGCGACCGTGTCGACCTGCGAGATCAGATCATCCGATATGCCGTACTTCTTCGCATCCCAGCCCGTGGGAATTTGCCCGGCCACCAAGCGGTCAAACCGCATTGCCTTGGGCACCAGTAGCTTCGCGCCTTTCTTCAGAACCGCCCGATACTGGTCAGTCCCCGGCTCCAGCGCGATATGCACCTTGTCCCCGTGTTCCAGCTTCAATTGCTGCGCGGTGGCCTCGGGCACCTCCAACGGCGGGAAGTCCTCTTGAATGAGCACCTCGTGCAGCATCTGCTTGCGTTCGGGGTCGTACCCACCGAAGAGATCTGGCTCGATGAGACGGATGCCGGAGTGGGCCAGCATGTGCTCTTCGTACTTCTGCTTGATCTGGTGGTCGAAGACAGGCTCATTCGTCTTGGCATCGACCCAGCCAGGTGTGGTGCCATTCTCGTAGCGGATCAGTCCCATCAACCAGGCCATCTCGACGCAGCCTTCGAGCGAGAACTCGCCGTACGCTTCCATCTCCCAGCGGGTGCGAGCATTGCCCCACGGGCCCAACTCGGCAAATCCGGTCACAACAACCACGCGCTCGAGGTCGACCATGCCTTGCAAATCGGCCGTGAGCGGCTTAATGTCCCGGTGATAATCGAGGACCTCGGGAAAGTCGAGGCGGACGTGCGCTTTCGGCACGGGTTTGGGGGCACTGGTCTCAGAGACCGCAGTGGGCGTGGGTGGAATGTCCGAGGAGCATTGGGCTTCCATGTCCAACTCTTCGAGAAGGGCTTTGCGCGTCTGCGCCGTCTCGTTGATCTCCAAGCGCAGTTCTTGCACCTTCTGTCGGAGGTCTTGCACCGCACCCATCCGACCGGCCAGGTCGGCGTACAGGGGTGCTTCCTCGCAGAGGCTAGAGATGGGGTTGAACATCAAACAGAGGAGACACTGGGCCATTTCTTGCTGGGAGAACGTTCGACACCCGAGGCGCTCAATGCCCTCAGCGACCAGGTTGTTGCCGCTCATGAGACCCGTGCCCCGAGTCCAGCCGATCACCGCACCGCAGACCGAGAGGTAGTCCGACCAGTCCTCCGAGTGCCAGCGGTTGAAGAGCGCTTCGAGCCCCAGCTTGGACTCACTGTACAGGCCGTCTCCGCCGAAGGTGCCATGGTTGGGCGAGAGAGGAAGGATGACTTGGGTGGGTCGCGTGCGCGAGCCTTGTGCTTCCTTGTGCGTTTTGACTGCGCCCAACAGACGCAGGGTATTGGTCATCATGGTTCGATGAGCAAGCTCGGCGTGCGGGTCAATCTTCTCGATAGTTCGGCCATTTTCTGGGATGGCTGCGAAGGGCAGGATGTGGTCGAGATCCCAGTGCAGCCCGTTGGGTCCGTAAATGTAGTCGATCAGCGCGGCGACGTCCTGGGAGCTGGCTTGGTTGAAAGGCACGACAACCAGTTCGGATTCGCGGGCCCCGAACTGCGTGTACAGATCCTGGTACTTGCGGACGACACTGGAGGAGAAGCGGCTGGTGGTGACGATCACGCGTGCACCGCCGGAGAGCAGGCCCTTCAGGACTTCCGCCCCGATGGATCCCACCCCGGCACCTGTCAGGAGCACCGCGCGGCCGACGAAGGACTCCCCGCTGGTCGTCGCCTGCTCAAGCACAGCGCGATACTGCTCCGTGAGGTCAGGACTGTATCTCCAGGAGGAACCCGTCCGCTCCTTCAGATGCAGATAAGGCTCCAACGGAGGTTCGGTGCCGGGAAGAGAGACCAACTCGGCGAGCGGAGCTGGCACGGGGCGCTCCTGCTCGGTGTAGGAGATTTCTCCTGCGGCAGTGATCGTCGTGCAGGGACCGCGACTATCGGGACGGGCCAGATACTTGGGACCGCGGTGCAACGACTCGCGACACCGCTCGGCCAGCCCGGTAAACAAGGATGCCAGCAAGGGCTGCTCCTCGAATTTCCCAACGATATGTTGCAACACATCCAACAGCCGGGGGTCTGCTGCATCCTGAATATGCTCGCAGCGCTGCGTCGCCAGCTGCAGATCGGCATCCTTGCCGTCCGTCCGGGACACTTCATAGTACAAATGCAGCAAGTCCTGCAGCGCCCAGCTCCACGCACTATCAAAGCGTCGGGCCTTTTTCGCGCTGAACTGTGGCTGCACGCCCGAGGTGAAGTCCTCACCCAGCTCCTGATGGATCTGGTCCAGCGCTGCCCGCAGGTCTTTCTCCACCGTCACCTGCAGGTCATCCAACGCGCGTCGATCCTGGTCCAGATCGATCTCTAGATGCTTGGAATACAGCTTCAACAGCGCCTTGGACAACTCCTGCTGGCCTCCGGTTAACGCCTCCAGGGTTTTGTGATCCAGCATCATCGCATGGCCGCCCGCTGACTCTTCTGCCCCAGCCCCCGTGGTCCCTCCCAGCGTCAAACCTTGCTCGGTGGCATACACCTGCACCAGCCCATCAAAGAAGGCCTTCGCTTCCGGCTCCTCGCTGATGCGACTCGCCGGCTGCTGTGCGATGGCCAACAACAGGATCGAATCCTGTCGGCCGGACCCTAAGCCCCAGCGAGACTGCAGGTATGCTCTGGTGGTGGCCACGGTGAACTGCCCAGGCATTTTGGAGGCAAACATGGCATGGAGCATCTTCAGCATGACCTTGCGCATTTGGCCGGTGAAAGCCTTCTGGAGGACATCGCTGAGGTCGGTGACGGTGAGGTCTTCGGCGCGATCGGGCAAGGAGCCGAACTCGCTGTTGAGATCGCCGATGATCTCATTTTCCAGGGTCGAACGTCCTCCGGCTAAGGACTTGATACTTTGGGTGCCGACGATATCGGTGACGGCGATCTTGAGGACTCGAGAGAGGAGCGTGCGAATGACTTCAAATGCGCGGGGAGGCTGGTCGTCGATGGCGGCCTCAGGCACCAAGGCTGCAGGCGCAGGAGTGGGAGTGGCGGCCTCAGGCGCCAAGGCTGAAGGCTTGGTAGTGGTAGGAGCGGTGGCGGGAGCGGGAGCGGGAGCGGGAGCGGGAGTGGCAGCAGCAGTAGCAGTCGAAGTAGAAGTAGAAGTCGAAGTAGAAGTAGCTGTGGGTATAGAAGCAGGAAGAGCCCCGTCATACTCATAGTAGATCTCCTTCCCGTGTTTCTCCGAGGCCAAGAGTTGTCGCTTCAGTAGAGAGGCTCGATCACGATGCAAGAATTTGGACTGCACCGTCTGAGCCATCATGTTCGTCAGGGTCGCCGCCGGGCCGATCTCCACGATGCGTTCGGCCCGGTATTGGCTGAGCACCACATCTTGCGTTTCAATCCATCGGACGGGGGAGGCAAACTGGTATCTATTGGATATACGTGCATGCAGACATGCACCTCTACCGTTAGCAAGCCGAGAACACCCACGGTCGATCGTTGCCTATCAGATGCAAATGCAAGGAAGGGTAGGAGACGGGAGGATAAACGCACGACATCAGCTCCAAAAGCAACGTATAAGCCAGCTTCCGCTGGGCATCATCATAGTCCATCGCGGCCATGATTTCCGTTGTGTGACTTCCAGAAGCATGGAAGACAGTTTGTGATGTGTCCCTCGTCTTTCCAGACGTGTGTGTCCGCTGTTATACTTCACGAGCACCGAGGAAATGGCGTCTATTTCGGATAATGCCAGTCGCCTTGCCTCCCCCCAAAGCTTCCTATTCCTGGCGAGAACTAAACTGACGGCCGCAAGAAAAGAACCTGCTGCATGGGGCTGGCCACGAGGCTGTTCCTGCGGCGCAGGATTCAGTTGCTGGAACTAAGGCAATTCTCTGGTCCAACCAAGATGGCGTGTGTTGAGGATGATAATATCGAGGATACGAGGTGGAACTGCAGCCTGTATGGCGTGGTATGTATGGTGTGGTATGTATGGCCTGACTTACTTACCGTACGCGGGAGATTGACGAGACCGTATTTCGCAGCATACGATCATACCGATTGTAATGAGGTAACAATATTGACCAACGACTAACAGGAACGGGACTAAATCCTTCCCCAGACCTTGACTAAAAATCCCTTAATGGCTTCGGCTGTGCAGAAATCCTGCGCCATGTCAGCATATGATTGGTAGGCTCGGAAGCCCTAACTCCCCAGGGAAGCCCGCCGGGGTCAGATCCTACCGGAGCCTTATGGTCAGCCACCCTTGCTGTCAGCCCAATGATTCTTGCTCATGTATCCTTTCGATCGGGAATCTCAATTTCCCAAGTCTTCGATCCTGAAACTAGCTTCTCGCATCCTTATTCCCCCTTCACTGGTGTTGGGGGCCAGATTCCCCTCCAAGCCACGCAACCCCCCGTTGGGAATTGCCATGCAGAACCCAAAAAAACGCGAACGACAGCTGGGTGCCAAGAGAAACGTGGTAAGCGGATCCGAGCCTCTGAGCCTCCAGGTTCTTGCTGCAGAGCTAAGGCTGCCTGCTTGTCGGTCGTGAAACTCGCTCGTGCGTGGGGCAGTCCGCGGCGGTCACTCCAGGCAGACACAGCAACAAACACCACCACAACAAAACAACCCCAGTTAAACAAATATCACTCTCCCCAGTGAGTAGGTAGGCACTGGTTTAGTGCGGGATGAACGGGTGATTCTTTTTCGCTGTTTGCTTGCATCTGCCATCTCGAAACCCTGGAAACATGGCGAGATCTTGCACGATCGAGGTCGAAAACCACTTCGGGCCCATCGTCGGAGATGCCTGTTATGGGGGGTTGGACTTCACCTTGTACTTTGAGGAAGCCTTTCTGTCCATCTTCCCCGCTGCGACGGTGATCTTAGCGGCGGGCGTGAGGAGTCTCGTGGTTCGTAGATACAGCGTCAAAGTCCGGGGAGGCTGGTTGTACCCCCTGAAACTGCTGTGCCTCGCGCTCTACTCTATCTCGCAGCTGCTGCTCTTCGCATTCTGGGTCAAGTCGGGCACGCCGAAGACCGACCTCACCATCGCAGCGACCTTCCTCCGCTTCCTGGCCACGCTCTTGTGTGGCTATCTGTCGCTCTTGGAGCATTATCGATCGGTCCGGCCCTCCAAGGTCCTGAATCTCTACTTGCTGCTCTCGCTACTCTTCGATATCCCTCAGGCTCGCACGATATGGATTGTCCAGGGGCTGCACACGGTCGCCGGCATCTTCACCGCCGGCATGGCTGTCAAGGTCTTGCTGTTGGTTCTCGAGGCATGGGAAAAGCAGCGCCTCGCCAAACCCATGTATGCCAGCCCAGCGCCCGAGGACTGGACCGGCGTGATCAACCGCAGTCTCTTCTGGTGGTTCAATCCGTTGTTGTTCCGCGGAGCGCGCAATGCGCTGTCAATGGGGGATTTATTCCACCTCGAGGACTGTATGATCCCCAATCCAGAGGGAAAGCACCGACTAGCTGAGCTCTGGGAGAATTGTACGTTCCCACCCCAACACCAACCTCTCCGGGTGCACGCTCTAATGATTGTTGTGTAGGTGAAAATAAAGAGAAGTCTGGGGCCATGATCGGTCCTATCGCCAAAGCCTTCAAATGGGATCTACTAGCCGGAATCATCCCCCGTCTAGCTCAAACCGGATTCACCTTCGCGCAACCGTTTCTGGTCCAGACTGCCCTGAAGCTCTTCACCTACAACGACCTGCCCAATGCCAAAAGCAAGGGCATCTTCCTGCTGGGGGCTTACGCGCTTGTTTACGCCGGCATTGCTGTCTCCACCGCCACCGCGCAGCACAAGACCTACCGCTTGATTACCATGATGCGGGGAGCGTTGGTGGGAATGATCTTCGATAAGAGCACGACCATCAACGCCCACATGAACGATGACTCGGCTGCCCTCACGCTGATGAGTACCGACATCGAACGGATCACCAGTTGTGGACGCTATTTGCATGATACGTGGGCGAGTCTGATTGAGATTGCTATTTCCTTGTACTTGTTGTATAACCAGCTCAGTACGGCGGGGGTGGCGCCGATCATTATTGCTTTCGGTGAGTTCCATCCTTTCCCATCCTTTTCCTGGATTCAAGGCCTGCGTGAGAGGATTTCTAACAGGTTTCGAACTTTGGCGGCTTAGCGTGCACTGTGGTGGCCATGAAAATCGCCATGGTGGCCGGCGAGCGGCAGAACATGTGGATTGAAGCAATCCAGAAGCGAGTGGCGGTCACGGCAGAGATGCTCGGCTCGATGAAGGGAGTCAAGATCTCGGGGCTGAAAGACCTTCTACATAACAAAATCCAAGGACTGCGTGAGGACGAGATTCTTGCCTCGCTGAAGTTTCGCACGCTTTTGATTTTTGTTGTTGGGCTCTGTATGTGCTATCTTTTCCTTTGCATCCAGTGACGACGGACTTTGCTAATTTCACCTCTGCAAGCCAACTTCAACACCCTGATCACGCCGGTGGTGACTTTCACTATCTATGCGATGGGCTCGCGCGATGGAAAGGCGGGCTATCTGGACAGCGAACGAGCGCTGACCTCCCTAACCCTGTTCAACCTCTTCTCCGTGTTTGTCGGCGCGCTGGTGGAGTCGATCAGCGACACGGCCATGGCACTCGAGTGCGTCGACCGGATCCGGGATTACTTGGCGAAAGATCCACATGAGGATCTGCGAGAGGTCGTCCGATCGCAGGACCTGTGGGATGAGAAAACCCCCTGCATCGAGGCAATTAATGTCGACGTTGGATGGAAGGGAGGCGAAGCCCCTGTTCTGCACGGCCTGTTTTACCGAATCGAACGCTCCTCCTTGACAATGATCGTGGGCGCCGTTGGCTGCGGAAAGACCACTCTGGTCAAGGCGATGCTCGGCGAGGTGAACTGCATGACGGGAAAGATGAGAGTCAGCTGCGACCGGATGGCGTACTGTGGACAGGAGGCGTGGATGACCAACGGCACGGTGCAAGAGAATATCCTCGCGGGGTCAGCGTACGACCCGCGGTGGTATTCAACAGTCATTGCGGCTTGTGGCCTTGAGAAGGATTTCACAGAGCTGGGCAACGGCGATCAAACTGCGGTCGGCAGTAAGGGTGTTTCACTGAGCGGTGGACAAAAGCAAAGATTGGTTTGTCTTTCCCTCGTTCGGATCTCTTTTTCTCTTTGACATAGCTCACCATTTCCCGGCAGGCACTCGCTCGGGCTCTCTACTCAGGAGTCGAAACAATCCTCATGGATGACGCGCTCAGCGGGCTCGATCCTGTCACCGACGAACACATCTTCACTCAGGTCCTAGGCCCGCGCGGACTGGCCAAGAAGCAGGGCTTGACCATCATCATGGTCACGCATGCCGTCCACCGACTTCCCTACGCCGACCACATCATCGCCCTCGAAGCGGACGGCACGATTCTCGTCCAAGGCACGTTCGACGATTGCTGCAAGAGACTCGACTCCATCCAGGGTTTCGCCATCGCCAAGCCCCCTGCCATCCAGATGAAAAGTGAGATGCCCAAGGCCGTAGAGAAAGCCAGCGCCCCCTACTCCAACGAGGCGATCTCGGACGCGCGCAAGACCAGCGACTTTCAGACGTACGTCTACTATCTCACAACGGTGCCGTGGTATAACTGGCTGGTGTACTTCGGCGTCATGGCGGTGTTTGTGTTCTTCCAGGCCTTCCCGTCCGTCTGGGTGACCTGGTGGGCCCGCGATAACGAGGAGCAGCCCAACAAGAACCTGAGCATGCGCATCGGCGTGTACTGGCTATTCGGCGTACTCGGCACCTGCTTCCTCCTGGCCACGGCATGGTTTTACATGCTCAAGATCGTCGCCCAAACGGCCTCGGTCATCCATTCGCGGCTGCTGCGGACGGTACTCAACGCTCCGATGGCGTTCTTCGCCTCAACCGACTCGGGCATCACCATCAACCGATTCAGTCAGGACCTGGAGCTCATCGACATGGAACTGCCCTTGGCCGTGCTCCAGACGTGCCTGGCGCTCTTTCTGTGCGTGGCGCAGCTGATCATCATCGCGGTCTCCGCCAAGTATATCACGGCCACCATCCCGCTCTGCATCTTCGTTTACTGCATCATCGGCACCTTCTACATCCGCACCTCGCGCCAGCTGCGTATCATGGACATCGAAGCCAAATCCCCGCTCTTCTCCAATTTCATGGAGCTGCTCAACGGACTCGTGACCATCCGCGCCTTCAACTGGGAGGAGCAGTACAAGGTCCGCAATCGAGCCCTGCTGGCCGAGTCCCAGCGCCCGTTCTACCTCCTGTATACTGTCCAGCGCTGGCTGAGCCTCGTGCTGGACATGACTGTGACGGGCTTTGTGATCGTGCTCATGGGTATCGCCGTGGGGACGATGCAGAGTACAGACGCGAGCTTTCTCGGTCTGGCGTTGGTGAATGTCGTTTCGCTGAGTGCCAGTGTCAAGGCACTGATCACGGATTGGACGGTGCTGGAGACGAGTCTGGGAGCTGTGACAAGAGTGAAGCATTTTGCGGAGACGACCGAGTCGGAGGATATGGCTGAGGAGAGGGATCTGCCACCGGACGATTGGACCAGCGGGGGCACGATTGAATATAGAAATGTCTCGGCTTTCTATCGGTGAGTAAGATCAATCGCGAGACGCTAAGAGAGCAAGACGACGAATGATCCAGTTACTAACCACAGAGTGTAGGGACCCGTCTGCGCCAGTATTGAAGAATGTCTCTTTCCGCGTCCGGAAAGGAGAGAAGATTGCCATTTGTGGGCGGAGTGGCAGGTATGTTAAACCAGAAGATGCAGAAATGGAAAACAGAAGAGAGGTTCAGACACTGACGGTTGGTACAGCGGCAAGAGTACCCTCGTCTCCGCGCTGTTCCGCATGATTGAACTTTGCGACGGCTCCATTGCAGTGGACGGGATAAACATCTCGACGCTGCCCCGGCAAGAAATCCGCTCTGCCATCATCGGTCTTCCGCAGGATCCCCTGCTTTTGGAGGGCAGCACCGTCCGCGAGAATGTTGATCCCTTTGACTACTCCCCCGACGAGGCAGTGATCAACACCCTCAAGCGCGTCGGCCTCTGGGAGATCATCGAAGGTAAAGGCGGGCTCGACACCGTGGCCAGCGGCGAACTCTTCTCGCACGGCCAGCGGCAATTGCTGTGCATGGCCAAGGCCATGCTCCGCCACGGAAATATCATTGTCTTCGACGAGGCGACGAGCGGAGTCGATCCGGATACTGACGAAATGATGCAAGAGCTCATCCGCTCGTGCTTTGCCGACTACACTGTCCTCACCGTGACCCACCGTCTAGACACAATCATCGACTACGACCGCGTGCTCGTCATGGACCATGGTGTCTTGCTGGAAAGCGACCACCCACGAGATCTCCTCGCCCGCCCCTCGATCTTCCGTGAACTGTACAAATCTTCCCGCGGATGGGAAGAATACGAACGTCAGGAACGGGCAGAAGCTGAAGCCCGCGAGCGCGAGCGGCTGGAGAAGGAGAAGGAGAAGGAGAAGGAGAAGGAGCAGCAACCGAGAGGTCGCCCCAAACGCTTTTCCTACGTCGACACGGATGTGGTCAGTGAGAAAGAAGAGCCCGAGACGTTCAACGCGATCCGTGACCACTGGAACGCGGTCAACCAGTTGTTTGAGAATATCATTCCTCGAGCTGTGCCGCGCAATCGCAGCCGGAGTCGCGACAGTGGAGATCGTGAGATGAAGCGTCACAGCAATCCGGAGCCATCAACAACAACCCCGGGCGGAGCGGTGAGTGGCAGAGATCGCAGGAGTTTGACCGGTTTGGCGGCGAGAGGTCGCTTCTATGGCGATGGTCACATTTGATTTCTTTGATTTGTTGGATTTGATATAGAATTTCGCTTCTTGGAGAGCTAGATTGTAATGGTTGAGGTTGTTTTTCTTTTCTTTTCTTTCTGTATTCATTCCTTCTTGAGAATGCGAGAATTCATTCGGTGCGTCACCTGATCAGGCGGTCGAGGCTGGCAGAATACCCGTCCATTTTACATACACATTACAACAACAATACAACAACAATACAACAACTACAACTAGATGTTATTTCTAAACCAGCGATAGACTAATGAGGGATCTATGTCGAATTCTTGTGATCATGCACTGTTTACTGGGTGATGTATTGCTTTATGTATGAATGGCAGTCATCTTGGGGTTATCCAGTTGTGGATTTTACCAGTGGAGGGCAAAACTATATATAATCCAAACAACACCCACGACCAAACCGGTGGACTTCTTCCGGTGAAAGCTGAGGTACTTCTAAGAGCATCTATATCACCACCGGATTGTACAGGAAAGACTACAGAGAACATTTAGCATAGAGAAGAGGTTGATCTAACAGTTTTATTCATCGAGAAAGAAGGATATCGACGCGTGGTCAACTTGGGCACGTGACTCGAGGAAAGCGAGTTTCCCACAGACAAGTCAGTCCTTTCTACTAACCACCACGGAATCAACATATCACGTTCCGAAGCATCTCTCAAGCAGCCTCAGGAATGGTCGTCAACGGAAGGCCGCTTCAATATGATAACATGGTAGAAAGACTAGGCCATGTTTTACTTGGATAACATGCCACCCTCAAACTAGGTCTATGGTTTCAACATGGGGTACAAAACAAATATAACATATAATTCTCACTATGTGCATTTTTAGAGATGAGTTTCACCAGAAGCCCAAATCTATACTGTGACAACCCCACAGACAACCATCCATGACTTCACCTACTACACCAATTGACTATTCATCAACTCCTACAACGGTCCACTCAACTACAGCTTAGACCACCGTCCGTGGCCTGAATTCAACCCACGGGCCCTCCTTGGCGGCGGTAATGTGCAGGTGAAGCCGGTATTCGCCATCGTCACCGGCCTGAACACCCTGAGGCAAACGCATATCGAAGGCGTACAGAATGTGCGACAGAGTCAAAGTGAGCTCAATGTATGCCAAAGGCTTTCCGATGCAGCTGCGAGGCCCAATGGAGAAAGGATTGAAGGCTGCGAAGGGGGAATATTCGCTGCGGTACGGCTCGGGGGTCGCCTCGGGCCCGAGCCACCGCTCGGGGACGAACTTGAAGGGTTGCGGGTAAATCTCCGGGTTATGGTGAATGCTGTAGACACAAGTGGCAACCTCCAGACCCTGGGGAATGTACTGTCCATCCACAGTGGCTCCGCCGACGTCGGCCTGGCGCCACAAGGGTCCAGGGGCCGAGGGTGACAGGCGCATAGTCTCTTCAATCACTGCACGGAGGTAGGAGCAGGAGTTCACTTTCGGGCCCAGACGAATCTCGTCTCGAGACTGGAATGTGCTGCGAACCTCGTGCACGGCGCGTTCGTACACCTTGGGGTGGTGAGTGAGATAGTACAGCGACGCCGCGAGTGCGGTGGAGGTGGTATCGGTTCCTAGGGATTCCTGGTTAGCTTCCCTCGATGCGACGGGGCTAATCATTTCTACATAAGAGGAGGAGGAGGAGGAGGAGGAG